GCTTTCTCTAGCTGCGGAGAGCAGGGGCTACTCTTCGTTGCGGTGCGAGGGCTTCTCCTGGCAGTGGCTTCTTTTGTTGCGAGGTTGTAGGTGCGTGGACTTCAGTAGTTGTGGCATGCAGGCTCAGTAGTTGTGGCTCGCAGTCTCTAGAGCACAAGCTCAGTAGTTGTGGCACGCTGGCTTAGCTGCTCCATGGCATGTGCGATCTTCCCGGACCAGGGATCGAACACGTGACCCCTGCATTGGCAGGCGGATTCTCAATCACTGCGCCACCAGGAAAGTCCCAAAATTTTCAAATGAATGAAAGAAGTAGGCACGAAATGACCCCCCACTTTCCAGATGTGGAAACTGAGGCTCAAGGTCACAATCAGAAACTGGTGGAGTCAGGATTCAAACCCAGGCCAATTTGGTTCTAAAGCCCTGGGCTTCCAAGGCCTGCTTGTGTCCATCCAGAGGCAAATCTCTTCTGCTTTGGGCTCACTTCCCACCGCTATAAAGCATGTTCTGGGTCATTTCTAGGTGCTGACCCTCAATGGAGACTTGGAGAAGGTGATCCAGTATTCTTTAAGTCCATTGTCAGCGTTTCTACCCTCCCCTCTCCCCCCAACTTCGGAGCCGCCTCTGACTGACACCGCCAGCCATCCAGGCATCACAGCTGGGCCTTTGTCAAAACCCGGACTGGATAACAAGGTTATGGGAGATGAACGCTGTAGGGGAGGAGCTAAGGGCCTGGGGCAGCCAATAGGAAAGTGGAAGGAAAGGTTAGGGAGGGACTAACAGACTTGGGGTTAGGGGTATAAACTTAAGGGGCGGAGCCAATCCTATCAGGAGGCCGAGTCAAGGGCTCTGGGCCAAGCACCATCGCCCTGAGATGCTTAGGGGGCGGTGCCAAAAGCTCTGGGGGCGGGAATAGAACTTTAACTCCCCCCTCAGGATTCTGGGGGTGGAGTTAAGAGCCCTGGGGGCGGGCGTAGATAGAATAAACAAGAGTTCTAAGAAATGAGCTAGAATAAGAGTTCCAGGGCGGAGCTAGTGGATATCTGGGCGGATTTGAGACTCTAGGGTCAGGCTCTAGTCTTGCAAGGTGGCTTCTCGAAAATCCAATAAAAGATTAGGGAGGTGTGCGGGGTGTGGAGTGTCTTCTTCCACCCTATCTTCCTCTAAGAGCCGGGGGCTATGCTTCGGGCTGAAAAGCAGAGAAGGCCCTGCCCCTTCCAAACCTTCTGCACCCCTATTGGCGGAGGGGGCCTGCGCGACAGGCTCTCATTGGTCCTGAACAGGCGGGGGTGTCTAAAGAGAATACGCGCCTGTTGTGGGCGGGACCAGACAGTACCGAGGGGGATCTCGGGTCAGCCAATCCCGGCCCGAAGATTGTGTTGGGGGGCCTGGCAGGGGGTGTTCCGACCCCCCCCCTTTCTGAGCATCCTGGGGGATGACCCCGGTGCCAGGCCCGGCGTCGGCCGCCTGATGCCGGGCAGGCCGAGCCGGGGATGCTGGAACGAAGGGCGTTGCTATGGCAACGGGAGGCAGGACCTGGGGGGGGAGCCCAGGCTCGAGCTGGGGCTGGGGGGGCTGGCGGTGGCTGTGGCGGGGCGATGGCGGAGCGCGGCCCGGCCTTCTGCGGCCTCTACGACACGTCCTCCCTGCTTCAATACTGCAACGGTGAGACCCCTCCTCAGTTCCGACCCTGGCCCCGCCCAGGGCTGGACCTATCTCCTCCTGCCCCAACCTCCTCCTTCCAAGTCCCCATCCTGGCCGCTTGCTGAAGATTCTCCTTTCTCCCCTAGCAGGACCCTGACCCTAGAGCAAGCTCCCTGATCCCCAAAGCCCTGATCCCAGTCCCCCACCCTCTTCAACCCTCCCCTTTTTCGGAGGTGGCTGAACTGAGAGAAAGGAGCAGAACCTCAGGAGCTTGGGGCAGAAGCGGGGGAGGCCTGGAGGTCTGAAACTCTGCGTTCCCTAATCCCCTCTCAATCCTCTGGGACCCTCCCCCTTCTCCCTAGCAGAGGGACAGGTTAGGGGGAGAGTGGTGTTTGGTGTTGGCTTGTGGGCTGGATGTGGGACTGGGTAGGATGACCAGAGGACTTTGCTTCGACTATACCCCCCAAATCCTCAGGCCCCGCCCCTCCCACCCATTAGGACTCATCCCTTCTCCCTAGACAAATGGGTACAATACAAGAAAGGTCACTGTGGGTGTCAGGCCCAGATGAGGGAAGCTGGAGGCAGAGGGGAGGAGGGAGGGATGGGAGAAGTGGGAAGTGGGGGCTGGTTTCCGGGCAAAAGTGCTGAAGGTGGGGGAATGGTCAGGAGGGAGCAGAGGACTTGAGTCATGGTGGGTGGGGGGTGGGCAGGCCAAGGCCTCAGAATGCAGCTGGCTCTCTGGATGGGGGTTGAAGGGCCAAGGTGAAAGCTCCCCCATTTCACTCAGGGGCCCTGAGAAGGAACTGTCTTCCATTTGGAGGCTCACTCCCCTGGGCACACAGCACAGTGTCAGGGACCACTGGAGTTGGCAGAGCTCCAGAATGCTTATTTTGTCTCCTCTGCCCCTCTAAGAGGCAGGCTGACAGGGTGCCTAAGCCTGGGGTCATGTACCTGTTCTGCTGAAAGGCTGTGTGTCCATGCACAAGCACCTTCATCTCTCTAGGTCTCAGTCCCCTTCCACCTTCTTGCCTCCTAAAATGGGTATAATACTTACAGCTGCTAGAGTTGCTGGGAGCACTGGGTACCATATAACAGTTAATCATATTCTGGATTTACTGAGCACATAACCAGAGCCAGGTGAGGTGCTCAGTGTTTTGCAAGAAGAGTGCCTGCCACGTGTAAGCTCCCTATAACAGATCTCATTTGGGGGGGTAGTATTATTAATGGTAGGTAAGAGGGGTCTTGGCACAAGGAGGTGACCAGGCCCTCCTGCACCTCACCTATTGGCTGTTTGACCTTTAGTGATCTCTGCACACTCCCCAACCTCCGTCCTTAGTTTCCTCTTTTGCAAAACGTTTTGCCAACGGGACCCTGAGATTCCTCCTCTTATGAGTTCCAAGTCCTGACAGCTCTCTCCCTCAGACCTCGGGAGGCCCCCACCTTCCAATGCAGGTCCAGGCACCCGGCCAGAGAGGAGCTGGGTGGGGGGCAGGGCGGGCAAGGCCAGGCAGGCGATTGGGCTGCGGGGGGTTGGGGGGAGGGAGGGACGGGATAGACGGCTGCACTGCGGAGCCCAGCGGACGGGCGGGGCGGCCTACGGACAGGGGATGGCAGGCGCTACTTCCACGCCCGGTTCCTGTTAATGGTACCACCCTTACTTCTACCCGACTGGGAGCCAGGGCTTTCTTGGTTGTTGCCAGCAATGAGTCTGGGTATGAGTGGTCTGGGAGGGAGGGGGGAGGGGGGACCACCTTGGTCCTCTGCCCCTCCCACTTCGGGGAAAATGGGCGGGGTGGGGGGGGCCCCCGCGGGAGATGGAGGAGTTATTCGGCTGCACCCATGACCTAGAGGGGAGAGGGAGAGCCGAATCAGGGGCATGGGGTACATAAGCCAAATAAAGGAGGGGAATAGAGAGAAGAAGCTCGGGTCGGGGAAGAAAGCTTGGGTGTCAGATCCCCGCGGGTATCTCCCTTCCGTGGGTCTCGGGTCTTGGATGCGCTGCCTGCAACTCCCAAATCTGCCGTCAGGGGCCGCAGAAACTCTGTCCTTGCAGCAGGCTCGTGTGTCGAACCCCTTGGTGAGGAGGGAATGCGAAGGCGAGGGACCAGGCACGACCTTTATGGCTTGGAAAGTCTTAGAAACAGAGAGGGAATGTTAGTACCCGCGATAAAATCTTGATATTTGTCAGAGAATATTGGGAATCAATTCTAGAATGTTGGTGTCACTAGCGAAAAGTTGGTGTCATCCTTAAAATGTTGATATGACTCATATGTATTTAGCATCTTAGTCATAGAATCTTAAAACCAGAGTCGAGAGGCTCTTGATTCGTAGTCTCCTAGAAGGTTAGAGAGGAGGGGACTTCCCTAAGGTCACGCCTCCAGGGCGCTGCAGCAGAGAGGAGTGTGCGGACAAGGGCCGAGAGCTATGGGGATCTCCTTCCCCTTTTCTTGGCCCACATCCAAGCGTCCCAGCCCCAGGTTACTGGAGAGGAAGGGGGCGTGGCTCGCCCCAGGATTAGACCGCGGAAGGCTGGAGGGACATCTCACCTCGGGCGTTGTAGCTCCTGGGTGGCCCCCCGCAGCCAGCGCTCCCTTGCCTTCCAGATGACAATTTGTCGGGCACGAGCGGGATGGAGGTGGACGACCGCGTGTCGGCGCTGGAGCAGCGGCTGCAGCTGCAGGAAGACGAGCTGGCGGTCCTAAAGGCCGCGCTGGCTGACGCGCTGCGTCGCCTGCGGGCATGCGAGGAGCAAGGCGCTGCTCTGCGCGCGCGGGGCACCCCCAAGGGCCGGGCGCCTCCGCGCCTAGGCACCACAGCCTCGGGTATCTTCACTAAACTGGAGGGGTGAGATGGGAGGGACTGGGGCCAGGACCTCACACTTACCCCCTTCTGTCCTCTAACCCCATTCCTCTAGTGTGTCAGCTCTTGAAAGGCCTTCCCACTAGGACGCCCCTCAATGGCTCGGGACCCCCGCGGCGCGTGGGCGGCTATGCCACGTCCCCATCCTCCCCCAAAAAGGAGGCGACCTCCGGGCGCAGGTAAGTCACGGAAGCCAGGATCCCCAGTTTCTTCCAAGACCTCGGAGGCTGTTTATGTGGAAACGGATGGACTCATATGTCCGAACACCAGCAGTGGAAGGTCCGGGGAAGTTCTTGCTCGCCTCCGGCACTCGCCTGCTGGCCTCGCGGGCTCTGCCCCTACCTACGTGCTCTCTATTCGCAGTGCCCGCCGCTACTTGTCACCAGAGCGCCTCGCCTCAGTGCGCCGCGAGGACCCCCGCAGCCGCACCACATCCTCTAGCAGCAATTGTAGCGCCAAAAAGGAAGGGTAGGTGTCCGAAGCGGGGACGTGACGCAATGGGTGGGGCCAGGACCCCAGTTAGGCTTGGAAAAGGATGGGGAATTTAGGGTGATGCCCCAGGCCACGAGGTGATAACCTAAAGGGCGGTCATCTAGTTCAGAATGCGGAAACAGTGCCGGAGGCTCGGAGAGACCAATCTTGAGATAGCGTGGTTGAACTGGGAGGCATGGAAACGCGGAACCAACATGGAGGGGCGTGGTCAAAGCATTAAGGGGCTGGACTAGAACCTAGGAGACGTGGATGATTAGCGTCTCTTGGTTGAGCCGGAGTAGAAGTTAGGGAGGAGCCAGGTTTGTGGGCGTGGCTATTAAGGTAAAGGGGAGAGTCCCCATTGAGTCTCAGAGATGTAGCCAGGGCAGGACCCTCAGAGGAGTTTCTGCAGGAAATGGGGTAATCAGAGGGAGGGAAGTGATTGGAATTTGAGGGTGTGGCCAGAGGGTTAGCCAGGGCAGAATCAGAACCTGGGGTGGGGGTAATGGGCTAAGACCAGGTGCCGTAGTGTCCGACGCAAGAAGCTGGGCGGAGGGGAGCCTGGGGCGCTGCCAGGTGGAAATGGGCGTGGTTTGAAAGTTGGGCGTGGTCATATGTGGGCGTGGGCAGATATCAGTAGGCTTGAAGGGACTCTAGGTGAAAGTGGTCACGGTCTGAAGTTTAACCGGACCTGAGGAGGGTAGGCGGTTCCATGGAGAGCTGTCAGTTCAGGGGCAGGATCGGAAGGAGAGGTGTGTATGATCAGAATGTTGGGCGTGGTCAAGTTCCCAGAGCCCGGGCCACACTGAAGGTCTGGGCGGTGTAAAAACCTGAGTGTGGAGTCCTGATGCAGTGGGCGTGGTCAGGGCTTGGCGGGTCCGGACTAAGGCAGGACCAGAGTCAAAAATCACACATTTCAACCTCACTGAAATAATGGCAAACACGTACAGAAGCTATGTGCCAGGCACCACGCAAGGCATGTTACACGAATTAACTAATTTAAGCTTCGCAATCACCCGGGAGGTATGTATTTTTATTATCCCCAATTTAAAAGTGAAGAAATCGAGGCAAGAGGTTTGGCAACTTGTCCACGCTGCTAGGAACCGGCAGAGCTGGGGTTTGAACTCAGGCAGACACGTCCCCGAGTCCATGTTCTCAAAAAACACTCTCCCTCCCCCCAAAAAAGAGCCTGGTATCAGGACCCACAGCCAGGGACCTGAGACCCAGTGTGACCCTCCGGCTACGGGGTTGGCAGTGGAGGGCGGGGCAGGGCGCGGCGGCGTGGGCGCCTCCCAGGGCCGGAAGCGGCGGAGCCGGTCCCGGCTCCACCCCCGGCCCCGAAGCTTCGCCAGCCGCCGCCATGAGTAGCTTTGGAGCTGGGTGAGACTCTCTGGCACACCCCCCTCCTCCTCGCGCTACCGAGATCTGGATCCCAGGTTTCCCCCTTCTCCGGGGACCCAGACCCGCGGGCATCACCACCTTCCGTCAGCAAAGGGAGTTGGAGACACGCCCCTTCCCTTAAACCCTCACCTCTTCCCTCTCTGCTTGAAGTTTGGGGCTCTGTGGGACTGGGGGTGGGGAGCGTTGGGAGAACCGTGCTGATTAGGCGGGAGGGGTACCTGTGACGCTCCTCTTTCAGGATCGCGTCCCTGCCACTTCGTGCTGTTTGATCTTTGGCGATCACTGCCTCTCTGGGCCTGTGTCTTAGGCTCTGCAAGATCAACCGAGCAAAGCACACGGCCTGCAGAGAGGCAGCGCTCCGCTCCTTACTCGGCCCCCATTTTTCATCAAATACCTCCGGGGAGCGCTGGGGTGGGGAAGTGGTTTCTCCCAATTTCTTACTTGCCTGCTAATTAGGGCTTTCTTTCTTTTCTTTTCTTTTCTTTTTTTTTTTTTCCCTTTCCTGACAGCAAAACCAAAGAAGTTATCTTCAGCATGGGTAAGTAGGGAGAATGGGTGGGGCTTCCTGGGGTGAGAAGCCAGAGCTGGAGGTCAGGAAGCCTGGCTACTGGCTGGGCCTTTGCCTCTTTGGCCTCATTTTCCCCACCTCTACTAATTAAAAAAGTAAAAAAGTGAAGTCGGAAGGGGAAAGGAAATAGGGTTGGGGGCTGGTGTCAGCACCTGACCTCTGGGGGTGTTCTGGCAGAGGAGGGCTCCGTGAAAATGTTCCTGAGGGGCCGCCCTGTGCTCATGCTGATCCCCGACGAGCTGGCACCCAGCTACAGCCTGGATACACGCTCCGAGCTGCCTTCCCGCCGTCTCAAGCTGGACTGGGTGTATCCTTTTGCTTTAATCTCTTCCTCCCACTTCTCCCAACCCGCCCGCCCCCAGCCTGGAAGGGACCAGAGCCTTTCTGGTGTGGGACTTCAGCTGGAGGGAGGGTCTTTGTACTGAAGGTGGGACTTTCCAGGCCTCTGTGGCTTTAGGGGTCAGGAAGAACTGGAGTCTGGAGGGAGCAGAGGAAGGCAGGTTAGCTGACATGACCTTTTATGATTCATTCAAGGAGCAAATGTTTGCTGAGCGCCCTCCATCTGTCAGATCCTCGTCTACATGTGGGCTGTGTTCCCTGAGCTCACACAGTCTGGGAATACAGTAAACTAAGCTCAAGTGAGAGGAGTAACTGGGTTTCTCTGAGGAGAGGGCATTTGAGCTGAGAATCGGACATTCAGGGGCCAGCCTAGGAAGAACAGAGGGCACGGCAGGTCTAAGGGCTCTGCGGTCAGAGTGAGCTTGGTGTATTTGAGAAATGGAAGAAGTTGATAATGGTTAAGAACCCTGTCTTTGGAGCCTGGCAGAAATGGGTTGAAACCCCAGCCCAGCCTCTGGCTGGCTACGTGACCCTGGACAAGTCACCTTGCCATTCTGTGCCTCAGTTGACTCCTCTGAAAAATGGGTGTTGTGATCTCAGATTCATAAGGCTGTGAAACAATGTGCTCATCATATGGGCCCCATAAACAGAGATTGATTAAAATAATAACTAATCATTATTGAGCACTTATTATATGCCAGGCACTGTTCAAAGCTCTTTCAAGTATAAATACGTTGAATACTATGATCCTTCTCTTTTGTAGGATTGAGAATATATTTTTACAACAAGTGGCCTCCGAGAGCTCTCTGAGGCCTGCAGGTTGGGAACTTTTACCCTTTCTTTCCAGATGAGGAAACTGAGGTCAAGAGAGGGGACCAAGCAGGAAGAAAAACAAATATATTAACGTATATATGTGGAACCTAGAAAAATGGTATAGATGAACCGGTTTGCAGGGCAGAAATAGAGACAGACGTAGAGAACAAACATATGGACACCAAGGGGGGAGGGGGCTGGTGGGATGAATTGGGAGATTGGGATTGACATATATAGACTAATATGTATAAAATAGATAACTAATAAGAACCTGCTATATAAAAAAATAAATAAAATAAAATTTAAAAAAAAAAAAGAGAGGGGATATCAAGCCCTGTTCTAGGGAGTCAGCAGATCTGAGGCAAGAGCTCTGATTCTGAGCCCCAGGCTTTTCCCAAAATGCAGACTGGGGCTTGGGATCAGCATCTTAGGGACCCAGTCCCTGTCTTCCTCTCTTGACCTTGGTTTCTGCTCTGGAGGAGGGAGGAATGTGGGAGCCCAGAGCCTCTTTAAGGCAGCTGGAAATATTCGCGGGAGTCAAAGAATACCATGCTGTCATGTCAAGCTGGGCTTGATAAGTGAGCATCAAAAGAAAAGCAGTTGAGATAGCAACAGTCAGTATAGGCCTCATTCCCTAGCCCCAAATGGCTGCAGGGTGAAGCAGTTTCTGTGGGGTCGGGATACACATATCGACATTCATTCAAATGTCTCCTGAACATTCTGGGGCTAAGGGCTGGGTTCCAACAGTCCCCAAATCACAGTCCAGTGTGGGGACAGAATCCGTGACAATGACAACTCAGGCTGGGATGGGAGAACCCAGAGAGGGCAGCTGACCCAGCCTGGGCATCAGGGAAGGCTTCTCAGAGGAGGAGTTGTAGACGAGAACAAAACAGCCCAGTCTTGGCCACTGTGGAACTGATAGTCTCATTAAGCAATAGGTGACGTGAACAAATTGATCAGATAAGTGGGATGAATCTAGCGGAGGAAGAGAGCCTGAAGCTTGATCTGAGGACAGGGCAACTGAGAAGGGTGGCAGGTAGCGTGTGCTAGGCAAAGGGGAAGGTTAGTGCCAAGACCTGGGTGACAGTAGTGATCTTAGTGTTTTGAGAAACTCCAAGGTCAGAGAGCAAAGCAGAAGCCCTGCTAAGGCCAGGGAGGGGCAAACCAGGCCAGTGGAGGAGCTTGGGCTTTGTCTTAGGGGAACTGGGGAGCCACAGAAAGTTCTGAACAGAGGAGGGTCACATTCCTTCAACAAATATTGAACTCATGTCTGCTGTGTACCAGGCCCTGATCTGGTCACGAGGGGTACATCAGTAAACAAAATGGACAGAGGTCCCTGCCCCCCTGGAGCAGACACTGTAGTTTGGGAGACACAAAATAAATTAAACAGATAACGTGCGGGATGCTGATGACTGTACTGCAGGAATATGAAGAGGGAGGGGGATGGGGGCAGTTGAGCGTGTGTGAGTTTGCAGTTTTTTTGTTTGTTTGTGTTTGGCCGTGGCGCGACTTGTGGGATCTTAGTTCCCCAACCAAGTATTGAGCCCAGGCCCCGGAAGTGAAAGCGCTGAGTCCTAACCACTGGACTGCCAGGGAATTCCAGTTTGCAGTTTTAAATAGCTGGGAACTATTTGGGAGAGGCTTGGGAAGGCCTCTCCAAGGAGCTGACAGTTGAGTAGAGACCTGAAGGAGGTGCGGGAGCCACGGAGAGATGAGGAAGAGGCCCCTGTCTGTCTCCCAGCTTTTGGTGGCTACTGGCAACCCTTGGGGTTCTTTGGCTTATAGTTGCTTTACTCCAATCTCTGTCTTCACACCGCCTTCTCCCACCCTGTGTCTGTGTCTTTTCTTCTCTGTCCCTTATAAGGACACTTGTTGCTGGAGTTAGGGCCCATCCAGATAATCCAGGATGATCTCGTCTTGAGATCCTTAATTACATCTGCGAAGACTCCTTTTCCAAGGAAGGTCACCTTCACACTTCCCAGGGGTTAATATTTTGGTGGACATATTTTTGGGGGATACCATCATTCAACCTCCCACAGGGGTAAGAGTGGAAACAGGAAAACCTAGCTCTGATGACCTTCATCTGGGAGTCAGTCAGCAGATGCAATGCAAAACAGGCTCTTTAACCAGCCCCTGGGCACCTCCAGCTATGGCTACCGTGGCCGAGACTGCCGGGCCAACCTTTACCTGCTGCCCACAGGGGAGATAGTGTACTTCGTGGCCTCTGTGGCTGTGCTATACAGTGTGGAGGAGCAGAGGCAGCGGCACTACCTGGGACACAATGATGACATCAAGTGGTGAGGCCTAGGAGGAGGATGCCAAATATTTCCTGCTTGGGACACTCAGGGGAGGTGGGTGGGGCCAGGCCTTCCCTGGCCAACAGGCTGAATTCAGGGGGAAAAAAATGTGGATTGATTATCAATACGTCAAATGTCGGTGAATTCACTCAGATGCCTGAATTTTTCACTTCTTTTGAAAACTTCAAGTGGGCACCCCAGACAATCCCACAGTGTGTTGGAGCCCTGTGGTGACAGCCCCTTTATTTTTTATTTTTTTATATTTAGCCTCACCGCACAGCATGTGGGATCTTAGTTCCCCAACCAGGGATCGAACCCATGCCCCCTGCAGTGGAAGCGTGGAGTGTTAACCACTGGACCTCCAAGGAAGTCCCTTTTATTTTATTTTATTTTTGACAGCCCTTTTAAATGGATGTGTTCTCCTGGCCGTTTGTGGTACAGGCTTGAGCCCTCTGGGCACTTGAGTTAGAGACCGCAGGCCTGAGTCTTGCTTCTGAGCCGGAGTACCCAGAGAGTATACCCTTATTGCTACTGAAGAGCTGAATCAGTGTTTATTGACTAAGTAACTCATTCAAGCAAACTGCGGAATGAATAATCAGGCATCGAGACTGTGGCCTGCTGTGGGAGGGGTCCTGGTGTGCTGCGAGCACCCCCCTGCTGAGCCCTGTCCATCTGCCCTCTCTCTCCTCAGCCTGGCTGTCCACCCTGATATGGTCACCATCGCCACTGGACAGGTGGCAGGCACCACTAAGGAGGGGAAGGTAACAGAGTGGAGGGGGCAGGACCTGGAGACTGGGATGGAGTCGTGGGTGGGTCAGGAAGCTGGGCCCCCCAGGTAACCGGCCTCTCTCTTCCCTGCAGCCACTGCCGCCCCACGTGCGCGTCTGGGACTCCGTTTCCCTCTCCACCTTACACGTACTGGGCCTGGGGGTGTTTGACAGAGCTGTGTGCTGTGTGGGCTTTTCCAAATCTGTAAGTCCTGTGCCATCCCTCCTCACCTGCCCCGGGTGCCCCTTGGCGCTGGAGGCCACACCTTCATCATGGCGTCACAGGTGCTGGCCACGCCCCCTGGCCCTCCAGGCTGTGTGCCCACATTTGTGGCCTCACAGGCCTGCTCTGTTAGCCCTTATGAGGGGACCATATGTCATGATTGCTCCGCAGAGAAACTCCTCAGTGATCCTTTGTACGTCAGTTAACGCTTTCTGCATTATTTTTTCACACCACCTTTCATTCTGGAAGGGTCCTTATCCCTTAGGCATTTTAAGCCCTGTGTCTAGGGCAGCCCTGGCTCCTAGTACCATCCTAAGTGGGTGTTGGCAGGTATGGAGGAGATAAGCACAGAAATCGAGAGTTAGCCTTTAGGAATTTGTCCAGCAATTTGACATTCACACAACATCCAAGTGTGTGAGTGGTGGGCTTTTTTTTTTTTTTTAAACCATATTTTACAGTTTTACTGTATTTTACCAGAGTATTGGCTGCAATGGATCGGGGAATAAAAAACAACCTGTCATCCCATAGACAGTTTAAGAACCTCACAGGTTTTCTGAGACCTGAGGAGACACTTGAGAACTTTGGGGAAATAAAGCTATTTTGTTGCCAAAATGTGGGGGAAAGGAAAACTTTGCAAAATCAAAACTAACCTGCGTTTAACTACAGGTATAAAAAAGCAACATCATCCCGACTTTATTAACTGTTTAACTTCACAGCCCTAAAAGTCATTCCCTAGGAAAATGCAGATTAGAGGCTCTCAGTAAGAATTCCTGACCTCGGGCTACTTGCAGAGAAATTGTAGCTAAGGGGAAATTAGAGGAAATTCTTAGGGAGGAGTCATTTCAAAAGGAAAATTGTAAACAGCCTTTAAAATGTGTGTGGCCCTGGACGGGGAGTATATTTTCATGTGTTTCACATGACTTGGGTCAGGGCCTTTGAAACAGGCCTGAGTAGCTAATGCCCCAGTGGGCAAGGTGTTGGAGGGAGGGGGTGGATCCTGACCCGCCTGCCCCTCCCCCATCCTCTCTCCTCTTCCTAGAATGGGGGCAACCTCCTCTGTGCGGTAGATGAGTCCAACGATCACATGCTTTCTGTGTGGGACTGGGCCAAGGAGACCAAGGTGGTAGATGGCAAGGTGAGGTAACCCTTCTTATCCCCTCTCCTTGGGGTCTCCCCGTGGGATTGGCCAGATCTCAGTGTTCACAAGTCTGGAATCAGACTCATGTTGAAGTCCTGGCTTTGCCATTTGCTGGCTGTGTGACTTTGGGCAAGTGGCTTGCCCTCTCGGAGCTTCAGTTGCCTCATCTATAAAATGGGGATAATGGTAGCATCTTCCTTGTAGGGAAAATTTGGCTTTGATGTTGGCATATGGGGTGGGCAAACCAAGCCCAACAGGAGGATCGGTACAAGGTGGCTGCTGGTTCTGCTGTCCTGCGATGTCCAAGACAGACCTTGACTTGCATCTCCGGGCGATAACCTGCTTTACAGATGAGGAACCTGAGGCATGGTAGAGGGGAGAGCTACTTGCCCGTGGTCACGTGCTTATTCTGGGCTGGGGGCAAGAGACCTAGGATTGGGGCCCATGGTTTGGGGAAAGAGAAGTAGTTGAGAGGCTGGGCTCTCAGTGACTTGATTCTGGACACAACCTGGCTGTGTGTCCTTAGGCAAGTGAATTCCCCTCTCTGAGCCTCACTTCATCATCTGTAATGGGAGGTGCTAATGAGCCTTACCTTACAGGGTGCTGTGGGGTTAAATGAGTTGATGGATGTTAAGTGCTTGGCACAGAGCTTGGTACAAAGTAAGGGCTCTCGTGCCTGCCATTATGTTGATGAAGAAAACAATAATGCTTCACTGGCTGGCCCTGCTTCCTGTACTTTAGTTTGCCCGTAAAGGAGAGGTACAGGCAAGTTGGGTGTGCAAGCGCACAACCCACACAGTTGTATAGGGCAGTCCTTCCTGGGTTGGGTATCGTGGTCCTGATGGCTTTGAGGTCCTCATCCAGAATCTCCCCCACCCCCTAAAGTGCTCCAATGAGGCCGTGCTGGTGGCCACCTTCCACCCCACAGACCCCACCGTGCTCATCACCTGCGGGAAATCCCACATCTACTTCTGGAACCTAGAAGGGGGCGGCATGAGCAAACGGCAGGGCCTCTTTGAGGTGAGTGCCAGGGGTACTGGGACAGGCTGGCCCTGAAGGAGGCTGGCAGGGACACCCAGGCAGACAAGAAGATACCCCAGGGGCTGGAGGTTGTAGGGATGCTGAGATATAGCCTGCTGGGGCCTCAGTTCCCTTATCCATACCAGTGGCGTGATCCACCTTAACTCTTTGAAGTTGTGAGGATTCAGTGGGATGAAGAGTATAGCGACGCCTCATAGATAGTGGATGCTCAATAAATGGGTTGCTGCGGTTGTCAATATTCTGGATAAACCGAGGTCAGAGGCTGACTGGCCGAGAGAGACAGAGAGAGAAACGGCAGGAAGCACAGGGCCTGGGAGAGAAGATGCAGACACACCTCTGACAGGGCTCCTTTGCCTTTGGTGAGAGTTGGGGCTTCTACCCCAAAAGGGGAGGCCCTGAGAACACCAGGCTCAGATGGAGATTAAGATGGAGATATTGAGATGAGAAGAGGGTGGGGCGGGGCAGGGTGAGGGACCTAGAGACAGACAGAAGAGGGGGCGGGAGGGAAGGAGAGGAGAGGGGCAGGGGCAGAGAGGGGGAGACCAAGGGACAGAGAGAGAGGAATCCAAGCGGAAGACAGCAGGGGAACAAAGGACAGAGACTGGGACAGGAGTCAGGGAGGAGAGAGAGGAGGGAGGAAGGGGGTCCGGGGTGGGTCAGAAAGTGGTCTGTAGGCGACGTGACACTCCATGGAGGTGGATTGGAGATGAGGATGCTCCCCACAGGGCCGCTCCCCAAAGCATGGAGGGCATCCCCTGGACCATTGTCATGGGTGATGGGTGAGCTCTGGGAGGCCTCCCGGCTTCAGCGACCCTCTGACACCTTCCCCTTCTCCCCCACCTTAGAAACACGAGAAACCGAAGTACGTGCTGTGTGTGACCTTTTTGGAGGGTGGCGATGTGGTCACCGGGGACTCTGGGGGGAACCTCTATGTCTGGGGCAAAGGTCAGTGTCAGCCCCACCTGATTGGTTCCCCAACCCGGTCCTCCCTGACTCCCTTTGGCTGTGCGTCCCTTTCTTGGAGCATGCTGATGTGGAATGTACGATACAACAATACAAGTCATTACTTGTCCAATTCTAACACCTCCATCAAGGCTCAGCTCCAGTATCCCCACCTGCATGAAATCTTCACTTATTCCCTCCCCTTGTCCTCTGCAAATCCCATGGCAGCGATCAAGTTTGAGCTATAAATGAATGGGTTAACCCAGTGTGGATGGACGGATGGATGGAGAGGTGGTTTGTTCCAGAGCAATGAATGAATGAAAAAGTTAATGAATGAATGAAGCGTTTGTCCTACCCAGTGAATAGAAGAATGAGTAGATGAATATGCTGTCCTTAATGGGTGGGTGATTAGGTGAGTGAACAATTAAATATATGAATGGCTGTCCCCAGAACGGATGACTGTGTTAATAAATGACTAGGTCTTTTCCCAGGCAGTGGATTACTGTAAAGTTACGAATGAATGAATGAATGAGTTTATTCAGTCATCAAACCACTTCCTGGAACAATCAATTCTTCATAACATGTTAATCCATTGGCTGAGGTAACCATTCATCTTGGGGTAGTGGGTGAGGAGTGGGTTTGGGAGTTGGGCAGGCTTTGGGTTCAGGCCTCAGCAGTGCTGTGTGCTCTCTGTGGCCTTGGGAGAGTCATCTCCCTTCTGAGACTCAGTTGCCCCATCTGTAAAATGGGTATAATACTCTCCCCCTCACACGGTTGTTTCGAGCTTTTCTTGAGATTAGACAGCTGAGAATAAGCTCTGAATAATTGGCAGTGTGTCTTTCCCAGCAGACTCTAAGCTCTCTGAGGGCAGAGACTTGGTCTGATTGGTTCCCATATCTCCAGTCCCACCACTGGGTCCAGCCCGCAGGGCTACAGGATGTTGGGTGGGTGGGTGGTTAGAAAGATAGGTGGACAAAAGGATGTATGTACACGTGGCACCACTTCTGAGCCTGGAAGGATGGAATTGAAGAGAGTTGCTTTTTCTTCCTCTCCACTTAGTCCCTGCCCCAGCCTCTTCCCTGGTTCCCGGGCCTTCAGTCTTGTCCCCTCCAATTCAGTTTGTTGTCAGAACCAAATGTAAATCTGACCCTATCCTTCCCCTGCTGAACCCTTCCATTACTACACAGTTCAGATCCCTCAGAACAAGGTCTGGATTCCTCACTGAGGTCTGCAAGGTCCGGATTCCTCAATGAGGCCATGCATGGTCTGGCCCTGCTTTCTCTTGTCCCTTGCATGTTATACTTGGTCACACCAGATTTCTTTAGTTTCCTAAATAGTCCATGTTCTCTCTGCCTTTTGCACATGTTGTTCCTTCTGCCTGGAACACTTTTCTACCCTCTGTTGTCCTAGCCAACTCCTACTCAACCTTCAGATCCTTGCTCAGCTGTCCCCTCCTCCAGGAAGCCCTCCCTGGCCCACCAGGCTAGGTGCCCACTCTGGAATCCCACAGTCTCCTGGGTTTCCCCATCCCAGCCCCAGCCATGTTGGGTCGTCACTGACTGGTAGTAGGCCTGTCTCTGAAACTGGACTGTGATCCCTGTGAGGGTAAGATCTGAGGTTGCCTTCATCAGTACCCAGCATCACCCAGCATGAGGCTGGGCCCAGAGTCAATGCTAGTTTAATAATTGTTGACTGAATGGATGGATGAACAGATGGTTAGGTTGACAGATGAGTGGATAGATGGGTGAATGGGTAGATGGATAGGAAAAAAAAATGGAAAATGGGTGGATGTTTGGATAGAAGGATGGATTGACTGGTGAGTGGGTAGTCAGATGAAAGAGAGGGTGAATGAATGGATGAGAGTCGGATTGATGGATGGATAGAAGGAAGGAAGCGTTGATGGCTGGCTGGATGGGTAATTGGATGGGTGAGTAGATAGATGGATGGACAGACCAGTAGATAGGTGAGTGGATGAATGGGTGGGTAAGTGGGTTAGGGTTAGGATCAAAGGGTGGATGGGTAGATGTTACTTCAGATGGTTTATTAGATGGATGATAGGGTATTTGAATAGATGGGTGGTGGAGTAGATGGGTGGGTGGAAGGCTGGGTAGAAGAAAAGGTGAGTGAATGGCTGGATGTAGGATTGAGAGTTTGAGGTGTTTTCTGGGGTCAGTATGGGGGAGCTTCCCCGTGCTGACCTCTGCCCCTGGCCACCCTGCAGGTGGGAACCGTATCACACAGGCCCTGCTGGGTGTCCACGATGGCGGCGTGTTTGGGCTCTGCGCCCTGCGGGACGGGACGCTGGTGTCAGGAGGGGGCCGCGATCGGCGGGTGATCCTCTGGGGTTCCGACTACAGCAAGCTGCAGGAGGCGGAGGTGAGGGGGAGAGGCTCATGGAGGTGAGGATACCTCCTCCCACCCCACTAATACTAGACCCTGCTCTCCCAGCCTGTCTCCCCACCCCCCAACCCCACCTCTGCGTGTGTCCTACACTCATCTGCCTGCCCCCCACCGCCCTTTGCCTACTCAGGTCCCCGAGGACTTCGGCCCCGTGCGGACCGTGGCGGAGGGCCGGGGTGACACGCTGTACGTGGGGACCACCCGCAACTCCATCCTGCAGGGCTCTGTCCACACTGGCTTCTCGCTGCTCATCCAGGTGAGCTTCTCTTCTGCACCTGCCCTGCTCCCTCCCCACCCGCCTCTCTTCTCTCCTCTGCACCATTCATTCCTCCTCTCTTCCCACTCCCATTTCACCTCACCTCTCTGCCCCATCCCTTATCCTCTGGCCTGGTAAACACCACTTACCTTCCCTTTAACTGCTCCTGACACATAACCCCACCCCAGAACACCCCGTGGTCCAGCAATGGGTTAACTGGTAGCACAGCAGAGGGGTCCCAGGGCCCTGCTCCAGCTGTGCTGCCCCCTGCTGGTCAGGTTGGTGTCCATTTCCGTAAGTGCCCTGGCAGGTTGTCACACAGGCCTTGAGCCACACACCTCCCAGGTCTTCAGCTACAAGGATCTAGGAAGACCCTCTGGAGTCTTCTCAGATGCGCATTCCTTCATCCTCGTGGGCCAGAACCCTACCACACATCCAAGTAAAAAACCCAGCCTACTAGGGGAATTCCCTGGCCGTCCAGTGGTTAGAACTCTGCACTTCCACTGCTGGGGGCCTGGGTTCGATCCCTGGTAGTCAGGGAAGATCCTGCAAGCCACATGGTGCGGCCAAAAAAAACCCTGGGATCGAAGCACAGCCCTGTTGCTCACTCGCTGTGTGATATGAGGCAAGTAAATAACCTCTCTGTGCCTCTGTGAACCAGGAGAATAATAGAACTGACTCATGGGGTTTTGTAAGGATTCAATGAGTCAATTCATGCACAGCATTTAGAATGGTGCCTGGCACAGAGTAAGGGCTCAAAGAGTCTTGGCCAAAATTACTTCTTGTTCAGTGACCCCCTGCCCCTTCCTTCACTCCTGACATGCATTTTACCTCTTACGTGGTAGCTGAGATCCGTACAGCAGCTGCATTTAGATTCCCCCCCTCTGGCTCTTGTTTCCATGGAAGAAGATGAGGAAAAACAAGGGCTAGAGGGATTTCCTAGGGGTCCCAAGACCAGAATGGACCTTAAAGACCTCTAATAATAGTATCAATATTATTTAGTATTAATTATATTATTAATATATTACTAGCTTTATATTATTAACATTAATCATTATACTAATATCAATAATTATAATTCTGTTGATTATCATTGTTAATTACTTTAATTATATATTAATAGTGTATGTTATCACTACTGATAATAGTCAGCCACTTCCATTTGGTGAGCACTTTGTACCAGCCTCATACACTTTCCATCTATTCACACTTTCCATCCATAATTTGAGTGAGCAGAAAAATGCCATGAGCCACATACAGTGATTGGTTCCATTTTACAGAAGATGAAACTGAGGCTCCAAGGAGAAGTCATCTGCCCAGGTGACTGCCACAGTCAATAAGAGAGAGCTGCAGTCAGACTCACCAGGCTGAGTACCCTCCATGGGTTCCTACAGCCTGCTGGGCACCATCTGTGTCCCAAAGTCAAGCTCCTACTCATCATGTCTCTTGCCTCCCATTGTGCACACTGGAAAGCAGAGACCTGGGGGGAGGGGCAACATTTGCCTCGAGCCCCACACTGGGGCAGGGGTCTGCCCAATCACAGCCTCCTTCAGATACACTGGGGAAAGGGTCTTCCCTGGGTAACCTGTGGGGAGAGTGTGTTGCTGGGGCTAGTCCAGCACTTCTTTCTGGCATCAGACTTTGGGGAGGTGGGGGATGCAGAGGAAAGGCCTGGATTGGCAGTCTCCGTGCTGTCATCTCTCCTTTCTGCCAGGGCCACGTGGAAGAGCTGTGGGGCCTGGCCACACACCCCAGCCGGGGACAATTTGTGACATGTGGTCAGGATAAGTTGGTGCATCTGTGGAGCGTGGAGTCCCACCAGCCCCTGTGGAGTAGGATCATCGAGGTAAGGGGATGGGGGACTTGACACGCCATTCTAACAGAACGACTTGTCTCAGTGTGTCAGGGTTCAGTGCATCAAATGGAAGCCACACTTGGCGTCTTTAAGCAGAAGATTTAATGCAGGGAACTGGGTGCTTACAAACTCACTTGGAAGTGCTAGAGGAGTGAGTTCTTGACTGGAAAGAAGCCCAGAACAGCACCACAGAACTGACCTGCCAGAGGAGCTGCTGCCTCTGCCACAGTCAGGAAGGTGGGGAGTCAGGAACCACTGAGTTCAAGAAAATGCTGTCATTGTAACTGCAATCCAGGAACCAGGATGCTGTGGTCACTCAAGTGTTGGCTTTAGAGCTACGCTGTCCAATACATGTGGCTATTCAAACTTAACTTTAAATGTAAGTAGAATTAAACATTCAGTTTCTCCATTGCACTAGCTACATTCCAAACATGTGGCTAGTGGCTACCATATTGGAAAGTGCAGATAGAGAACATCTCCATTATCGCAGAAGGTTCAGTTGGACTATCTTGCTCTAGAGTGACCCAATGCTGGCTACATTTACACTGGCCAAAAACAGATACTCTGTGCCCTTGCCTTTCAAGGCTAGTGACTGCTCACCAGCATAGCAAATGCTGTTGCTTTCACAACCCAACTGATCAGTGGAAGTGGCAGAGCGGGGCCTCCACCTTGTACCTTCCAGAGCCCACAATGGTGCAGCTGATTGTCAGACCCAAATCACAGCCAACCCTAGCTACAAGGGATTCTGGGCAATGTAGTTTTTAAGCTCTCCTGCCTGTATGGTATGGGACAGTAGAAGGTCAGTCATCATATCCCCCACACCACCCTTTGAGGTTTTGCTCCAGGAATCCAGGGTTACCTATGATCCTGGAACACTTGATGGCCTTTGAACTTCTAGGAGTCAGGGATGGTGTACCCCGGAAATTATTAGGGCCATGTATAATAATCCTCACTCTGGCTGCCTAATTGAGCACCTACTATATGCCAGGACCTGTGCTCAGCACAGCAGTTCTCTAGCCAGGGCATAAGAACCACCTGAGTTGTTAGAAACACAGAATCCTGAGCCCCAAGCATGGGAAGTCCGGTTCAGGAGGTCTGAGTTTAGTCCCAGAAATCTGCAATTTATAATAAGAACAAGCTCCCTCGGGTTATTCTGATTTGGGCAGTCTGCCCACCATGCCTGACATTGGCTTAGCACTTTACCCACATTGTCTTCTTAACTCCCCCCCACCCCAACCTCCACAAGGCAGTAGAGATGATGATCGCCCAGAAACAGGAAGGTAAAATCAGGAAACGGGCCCAGAAAGGTAAAATCACTTGCCGTTCGTAATTACAATCATAGCTGACCTTTATTCAGTGCTTCCTGTAGGCCATTTTACTCACCAGCTTACCATTCTAAGGACTTTACACCTTGCTTATAACAGTCCTGGGGAGTGTGTATTGATGTTCTCCGTTTGGGGCAACCAAGGCCACGATGGGGAAAGTTATTTGATGTCACATAACGAGGGAGTGTCAGGGCCACAGTTTCAAACCACATCTGATTCCATGGTGCTCTGTTGCCTGCAAATCAACCAAATGCCCCCGAAATTTAAAAATTTTGTGCTAGGAGTTAGATAAAGATATGGGGAAACAGGCACTCAGACAAGCCTAATGATAAGTCAATATAATTTTATAAGGGAAAGCAAATTAGCATGATATATCAAAAGTCTTAAAAATATGGATAGCCTTTGTCCCAACGATCTCACTAGTAGAAAAGTCCCTAAGGAAATCATCTTGGGTTTATAAAGCTGTGGGAGGTTAAAACAGGAGTGAAAAAGGATCCAGAGTCAACAGTGAAAGGAGGAATATTTTCTCTTCGAGCAGACATGTTAAAGGAAAGGAGAGTGGTTTCCAGAGCATCTGCAGCAGCAGGTTACTGGAGGGCAGCAGAGGGAGGTGAGAGCCCTCATGCCAGGCTGAGAGTTGCCTCTGAGGCTGGGGAAGTGTGGGCCAGATGGAAGGGGGACCCCAGCTCCCAGCCCTTCCTCTTCTCTCCCTCCTCAGGACCCGGCCTACTCTGCTGGCTTCCACCCCAGTGGCTGTGTCCTGGCCATTGGCACGGCGACGGGCAGGTAAAGCTGAGGGGCATTTGGGGAGGGCTTCTCTGCGCCCCCCAGGAACTATCCCTTGATCACCTCCCCCTGCCTTCCCTACTGCCCCAAAGCTTACAGAGAATGATAATTAGGTACCAACTGTTTACCAGGCCTTGATCTCCCAACATTCCTCTGGAGTCAGCCTCTCTCCCTAATCTTTTCTGGGGTCCTTCCCTCAGGCCCCACAGATTGCCACCCTTCTCTACCAGATCAGCTCACCCCTCCTCTCCCACCATGCCTTCTCCTTAAAGATGGCTGCTTCTGGACACAGAGACCCATGACCTGGTGGCCATCCATACAGATGGGAATGAACAGATCTCAGTGGTCAGCTTCTCTCCAGGTAAGGGCCGGGGCCGGGGAGGGGACCTTGGAGAGGCCAGGCCTGGGAACTGAAGCTCAGAGTTACTGGCAGGGGGAAGGGGTGGAGTCTGTGTGGCACGGCCTAAGGGCGGGGCCAGGCCTGTGGCAGGGATGGAATTTGGGACTACTGAGGAGTCTGGGATAGTGGGGGGCTGAATCTGAGAGAGGAGGGGTAGAGCCTGGGTGCCTCCTCATAGCCCCCTCCCCCTCCCCCAGACGGGGCGTACCTGGCCGTGGGCTCCCACGACAACTTGGTGTACCTGTACACGGTGGACCAGGGCGGCCGCAAGGTCAGCCGCCTGGGCAAGTGCTCGGTGAGTGGGCAGTGGCCCCCAGCCCGCGCCGCCACCCCGTCCAGGGGGTGCAGAATTAACCAGTTTTCTACCTCAAGGGCGCACAGCTTCAACACTCAACTGACTGCCCTGGTCACATCAAGGAGTTTTAGCCCCGCCCACACATTTACCCTCTCCTGTGTTTCAAGGCCGTCCCTATGTGTAGCCCCGCCCCTCACGTTCTAAGCACACCCTCTGTGTAGCCCAGCCCCTTGCATTCGAAGCCCGCCCCTCCGTGTCTAGCTCTGCCCACTTGTTCTAAACTCCCCCTTGTGTTCTAAGCCCTATTTGTCTAGCCCCGCTCATCACAGTCTGGCCCCGCCCATGATAGTGTGGCCCCGTCCCCACACCCGAAAGGCTTGTGTATCTTTCCTCGAGACCCCCTGTGTTTTCACCCTACCTTTGTATTTTGCCTTCCACCCATCCTGGTCTGATCCTACCCGCTCCAGCTCTAACTCCACCCCTTCCCTCCTCTGCAGGGCCATTCCAGTTTTATCACCCACCTGGATTGGGCCCAGGACAGCAGCTGCTTCGTCACCAACTCTGGGGACTACGAGATTCTGTACTGTGAGTTCTCTGAAACCCAAAGGCATTCCTCCTGCAGCCTCTCTATTGCGTGTGCGATTTGCATAGCCTTCCCTGGGTTCTGGAAGGGGAAGCAGGGGCTTCAAGTCCCTTCTCCTCTGGCTGTTTTATTCAGGGGTTGATCTGATTGGCTGGTCTCCTGGCTTCTGGTTTCCTCCCTGGTGGACCCAACTTTTAACCAGTTCCTCCCCCTCCGGGTTGGATGGCTGGGGTACAGGTTTCTAAGCAGATACCCCTGCTCTCGTCTTGAGATGTCACCACCCAGGATCTAGCACCAGTCTGGAGAGGTAGAATTAGCCTCCTGTGTCGGACCTCAGTGCCCGTTGTCTGTGGAATGGGTGAATTAAGTCAGTAGTTCTTTCCGTTTAGTTTTTGGTTTTTGGTTTTCTTGGCCGTGCCGCGCAGCTTGCCGGATCTTAGTTCCCCGACCAGGGATCGAACCCGTGCCCCCTGCAGTGGAACCGCGGAGTCCTAACCACTGGACCGCCAGGGAATTCCCAGTAGTTCTTTCTGCTCTGAACACCTCCTCCCATTTTCTGCCCCAGGGGACCCAGCCACCTGTAAGCAGATCACTACTGCAGATGCCGTGAGGAACGTGGAATGGGCCACGGCTACCTGTGTCCTGGGTTTTGGCGTGTTTGGTAAGTTCTGGAATGGGGAAAGTCTTGCTGAGGACAGGAGTTCCAAGAAACATCCCTGACTGGTGGTTTTCACAGTCTCTTGTTACCTCTAAGGTGGGAAACTCATTCCTTTAGACATGTGAGCAGCAGTATTTGTATAAGAGGAAAGGTTAGGGTGAGGTGACTACTCAGATCCCTTGGAACTGTAATGAAATGAGAACAATTGGGGGTGTCACCTGGCCCAGGGAGATTCACACAGCCTGTGTCCCAGTCACCCATTCATTCAGGCATTAATGCACTCAACACATACCCCCTGAGCACCTGTGTGCCCAGCTGGGCAGTGCTAAGACCCAGTGGTGACCACGACAGCCCTGACCCTGCCATCATGGGTCTCACAGTCCAGTGGAAGAGAGAGACCTGTCCCCAGACCACCCAGAGTAGACTGGGCTGGGACAAGGAAGTCCAGAGAGGACACCTGGCCCCAGCCTAGGAGGGAGTCAGGGAGGGCTTCCTGGAGGAAGGGACATCCAAACTGGATCTGCAGGATGAGGAGTTAGGTTCTAGGGTGGTGAAGAAGGAAAGCAGTGTCTAGGCAAAGGGAATAATAGCCATGTATAAAAGCCTAGAGGTGACAGAGCTTGGTATTTGGAGAAATGCAAGAAGGCAGGATGGCTAAATCATTGCAGAGTTCAAGGGAAGCACTGGTAAGGACAAGGCAGGAGCAGTGTGGGGGACAAGGCAGAGCTTGGGGGTCATGGCGAGAAGCCTGGGCCATGGGAGGGTTTTTTTTTTTTGTGGGATCTTAGTTCCCTGACCAGGGATTGAGCCCAGGCCCTTGGCAGTGAGAGCGTGGAGTCCTAACCATTGAACCGCCAGGGAATTCCCCATGGGAGGGCTTTGAGCTATAGAGGGATAGGGTCAGATAAGCATTTCCAAAAGATTATTCCAATTCTCATCCCCGGCTAGAGACGGGCTAGGTGAGAGAAAGGCAGGGAGGCTGGGGCTGGGGCCTACTTGCCTTGGGGGTCCCTGGCCCCAGCTGCCATCTTACCACCAGCCACCCCCAATCTTGCCCGCAGGGATCTGGTCTGAGGGAGCAGATGGTACTGACATCAATGCCGTGGCCCGTTCCCATGATGGGAAGTTGCTGGCTTCAGCTGATGACTTTGGCAAAGTCCACCTGTTTAGCTACCCCTGCTGTCAGCCTCGAGTGAGTCCCTCTGGGGGGCTGGCAGGGTGGAGGTACCAAGCAGCACTGCAGGCAGGATTAAGGCAGCCCTTTCCGGATCCCAGTTTCACCAGCTGTACAAGGAGGGCAGTGGCTTGATCCCAGGGGCCTTTCTTAACTTGAAAGTCGATAAATTACCAAGTCTGTAGTGCTAAAGCTCTGAGCATCTGCATTGTGAGATCTTTGGTTCTTTTTCCTATTAACTCAAGAAATATTTATTGAGCACTTACCGAATGCCTGGGCCCAGGGAATACAGCAGTGAACAAGACAGATGACTTCCTTTCACTTCCTTCTTTCCATATCACAGGCTCTCGGCCACAAATACGGCGGACACAGCAGCCATGTGACAAATGTGGCCTTCTTGTGGGATGACAGTGTGGTCCTGACCACAGGGGGCAAGGACACCAGCGTGCTGCAGTGGCGGGTGGTCTGAACTGGCAGGTTGGGGGGTTCCCAGGAACATGGGGCCCAGGTAGAGTCAGGTGGCAGTATTGGAATTCTATTTTCGGGAGATGTCTATTGCCGAGTAGAGTAATATATACCCAGAGTATGTCTATAGCAAAGGGGGTTATGGGGGTGGGAGGGTGGACTGACAGAAGTCTCTATTTATTGGGGTGGGAAAAGGGGTCACATTGCTTTGGGGGAGCCATTAGGGTGTTTGGTTTGGGGTGTTTTTTAAGTTTATTATTTTATATCATCCAGAAATAAAAACACGTGCACTGAGGTGGAGTGTCAGGGTCTGTGTATATGGTGTGTCCATAGATTGTGTCTATAAGTGTATATGTACGAGGTGTGTGTGTGGTGTGCATATATTACAGCGTTTGTGATGAGACACCATTATCAGGTCTTTATTCGTCTTTAAGCTTGACAGAAACCAAGCTTGCTCTAACTTAGGCCAGAGGAGGACTCAATTGATCGACATTGCCAAACAAGGAAGGGCAGTTGTCCCCTCTGGCCTTCAGGGCCATCAAACCAAGGATTTGAGGGCAACCAAGGTACTCCATACCTTCTCTGACCTTCTGCAAGTCAGCATGTTTCTCTGGGACCAGCATTCTCCACACCACGGAAGGATGGCACCCAGCAGCTTGAGCCCCAAGTCCAAAAATCCCAGGGAAGGGCTATGATTGGCCCATCTGCAGATCTATCAACGTGGCCTGTTGTTTGGCCTGCTGTGATTGGTTCCACTTGGGTGAAGGCCAACCCTGGACCAATGATTGTGGCCAGGAAGATGGAATATGTAAAAACACGGAAGCCTCCACTTGAACCACGAGGTTGAAATAGGGCAAGGAAAGTTTTCAGAGAAGTGGGCTGATGACCCTCTCGATGTCTAGGAGATGGGGTATGAGGATTCTGGGTAGCAAGAGACAGAAACCTAACTTCATCCAGCAGAAACAATAAGAAGCAATTGCCAGGTCATGGAACTGGGTAGTCCAGGAGGGACCCAGCTAGATTCAGGTGGCTCAGATGTGATTGGGGTTTTCCTTTTGGCGATTTCTCAGTGTCGTATCTAACTTTGAGCAAATTTTTAACTTTAACTTTGTATTGATGTATGCTACATGCAGAGAAGTACGCTCATCATAAATGTATAATCACAAACTGATCGCATCCATGCAGCCAGCTCCCAGATGAAGAAGTAGAACATCCCCAGGCCCCAGAAAGCGTCCTTGTGCCCCTTCCTTGTCATTGCACACCACCGCCCGGCCCCCGCCAGTAATTGCTATCCTACTTCTCACACCATAAAACAGTTTTACCCAGTTTTGTACTTTAAATCAGAGGTCAGCAGACTGTTTCCAGAAAGGGCCATATAGTAAATATTTTAGATTTTATGAACCACTCAGTCTCTGTCCCAGCTAACTCTGACATTGTTGTGTGAAAGCAGTCACAGACGGTGCAGGCATGAATGAGCTTGGCTGTGTTCAAATAAAACTATGGATACTGAAACTTGAGTTTCTCAGCATTTTTGCGTGTCATGAAATACTATTGATTTTTTGGGAACCACTTAAAAATGTGAAAACCATCTTAGCTGACGAGTTGTACAAAGACAGGCGGTAGATAGGGTTTGGTCCACAGTGGTAGTTTGCTCACCTTTGCTTTAAATAGATGGAATCATAGAGTGTGAACTCGTGGATCTGGCTTCTCCCCTTGAGCGGGTTTCTTAAGCCTCTCAAGGCCTCAGTTTCCCAATGTATAAAATAGAAGTTAATAATAGCACCTGCCCCATTGGGGTGCTGTGACAATGAGTTAAATAGACGCAAAAGCTTAGGACAGTGCCTGGCACGTAGCAAGCTCTCTACAAATGTTAGCTGATTATTTTTACACTGTTGAGAACCAGACGCTGTGGCTGCAGGCATTCTGCCAGGCCACATGGTAACAAAGCCAGAGGAAGTCTTTCTCTCATACCACTCAAGCGTCTCCAGGAGTAATCTGATTGGCTCACCTTGGATCATGTGGCCAATCTCCATGGCCTAGGGAATGGAGTCATCTGATCTGCCAGGCCTGGGTCACGTGCTCATCTTTTTGCTTAGGAAGGGGTTAGTGTACCTGGGACTGACAGCGCCACCTAAACCTCGCAGAATGGGTGGGGGAGTTCTCCCAAAGGAAGGGGGATGGGAAAACACTCAAGCAGGAGACGGAAGCTACCAGCAACCTCAGCATATTTATGTCAAGGTGGGTGACACCCTGGAGGGCAGGGTCAATAATGTTTCTGGGAGTTTGAAGACCCCTATTCCCAGTATCTATTGCTTCAGAACAAAGCATTCCAAAACTTAATGGCTTAAAACAACAACCATTTTGTTATCACTCATAGTTTGGTGTTAGGCATTCACCCATGATGGAAGTTTGGGTTGTGTCCATCGTTTGCTATTGCAGATAAGGCTGTGATAAACATTTATATACAAGTTTCTATTTGGACATATGTTTTCATTTCTCTTGGGTATATACCTAGGAGTAGAATTGCTGAGCCATATGGTAATTCTGTATTTAACTTTTTGAGGAACATGTGTGTGTGTGGTTTTAATTAAACAGTTTTGAAATAATTATAGAGTCAGGGGAAGTTGCCAACATAGTACAGAGAGGTCCTCTATATCCTTCATCCAGTTTCCCCCAATGGTAACATCCTGTATAACTATAGCACAATACCAGACTTGGAAACTGACACTGGTGAATCTACAGACCTTATTCAGATTTCACCATTTTTACATGCCCTCCTGCTTGTATGCCTGCGTGTATGTGTGTGTGTGTGTGTGTGTGTGTGTGTGTGTCTATGCAGTTTTATGACATGTATAGATTTTTTCCAAGGGGGTTCCAGCAAAGGTTAGAAACTCCCTTTTGTTTCCAAAATATTCCCAAAGTATACCTGCTGTCTGTATATATGTATGTTTGCTCTCTGGTCTTTAGCTAGTTAACAAACCTTAATAAGCTCAATGAGGTCTGCCATCTGGGCTGTTCGTACCTCAGGTATGGGACTGTATTCTAAAGGAGACCTTGAATTAGTGATAGGATACCTCTATTTTCAGTTTTGAAGTATTGTATTAGAGAAAATGCCAGAGAAACAGAACCAGTGGGATGTATATATTATGAGGAATTGGCTCATTCAATTATGGAAACTGACAAGTCCTAAGATCTGCTGGCTGAGTCGGCAAGCTGGAGATCCAGGAGAGGCAGAGGTGCAGTTCTAGTCTGAATGCCAGCAGACTCGAGACACAGAAAGGACCAATGTTTCAGTTTGAATCTAGAAGGTAGGAAAAAGCCAGTGTTCCCGTTCAAAGGCAGTTGAGCAGAAGACAGTCTCTCTTACTCGGGGAAAGGTCAGCCTTTTTTGTTCCATGCATGCCTTCAACTGATTGGGTGAGGCCCACCCACATTGGGGAGGGCAATCTGCTTTACTCAGTTTCCCAATTTAAATGTTCAGCTCATCCAGAGCACCCAGAATGTTTGACCAAATATCTGGGCACTTCATGGCCCAGTCAAGTTGGTGCATAAAATTAATCATTACAGGAATGATCATCAATTAAAACATAATAGGTCAGCGTTCTCAATGGGAGTCTCTAGTAAACCTGCAAGAGGTACAGAAAGTTCCCCAATCAAGGTAAGACAATTGAGGTTTCCTTTCTTCTGTTGGGGCCAGAGAAGTGGCAGGATTCAGAGTGCTGCAGCAGTGAATAGAAGTAGGAGAGAGAGAGGGTAACAACTTCAGAAGAGGTTGGCTGGCTGGCTGAAATCATTGTGTGCTTTTAGTCAGTAGTGATGTGCTGGATGAGGAATCATAAAGTCAAGTGGGGTGCCTAGAACTAGCCCAGCAGAAGCATCAAGTTTTGCAGCCCCCAACTATTGCCTTAGGACAAGGAGGAGAAGTCTGCTCTTGTTAATGACTCTTTACTGCCTGGTATGAAAGCATTTCAGTATTTTAACAAATGATACAGCCCTATCAGTGTGAACCAGCTGAATATTAACTGTGACTGTCCAGAAGGAGTAGGGATTGAATTGTTCTGATTCCTTTATCTTTGGTAGGCAAGATAATTTATGGTGATGCTATCTAATTACCTCTCTCTCTCTTCTCTCTCTCTCTTTCTTTTATGTTTGAAGCGCTGACATTTCCCCCCCCCCCCCCCCCCCACCCCGCTATTCTCGAGTTCAGTAGTTCTTACACTTGAAGGAGCAGTAGTAGAATCATCTGTAGGGTTTGTTATAATGAAAATGCACCTCCTCCCAATTCCCCATCCAGGGTTTCTAATTCCATCAGTCTAGGTGGGGCCCAAGAATTTGCATTTCCAAAGAGTTCCCAGATGCTCCAAGCACCACACTTTGAGAACCACTGCACTAATAGAACTATAATAAGGTAACAAATCTATAGGATTTCTCTAGACAGAGCAATACATAGAATTTTGTAGAACATTACACACTTGTGTTTCTTTTCCTTGTCTGAACTGTACAGATGATCTCTTGGGATGGAAGGCTCAGAGCCTTGCAGTTTCAGAGTGACAGTTTATCAAGGCCATCAATTCCTAAGGGAAGGAAAAATTACTGCAGGAGAAACCTGCAAATCCCTCTTTGACCAGCAAGGAGGATTGTCCATGTGTCTCCAGGAACAGCTGCCTAAGCTATAACTCTCCAAATGTCAATATCCTTCAGAAGTGACAGCCCCCAGAGCCAAACATGAAATTCTAGGAAGGGGAGGGTGTTCAATCATATCAAAGCTTTTCATCCCCTCCACATTTCTGGCCAGAGATCTCAATTAATATGACCAGAAGTCAATCATTCACTAATCAATTGCCCACGAGGATGAGGATTTTGGCTTTTAAGACCGTATTCTCAGGGCCTAGCGCAGTGTCTGGCATGCAGTAAATGCTCAACAAACACAAATGTTGATTAATCAATGAATGAATTCATTCAATATATGTAAGAAACATTTTACTCTAGGCCAGAGCCTGAGCTGGGCAGTGCTGGGCAGAGTGGTGACTGAGACAGCTCCAGCCCTGCCCTCAAGGGACTCAGTCCGGTGGGGAAGGCAGACCCATCCTTAGAAAATGATGACCATAAGTGGGCAAAGGAAGGCCAAGTGGGTATCAGGGAGGGCTTCCTGGAGGGGACGACAGACCTGCCTATTGAAGGATGAGTAAGGAATGAACCAGGTAAAGTGAGGGGAGTATTCCAAGTGGCAGTTCTGACAGCTCCCTCCTTCCTCCTATTCCCCCAACAAACTGTGACAAGGCCCCCTCTAGGCTCCAGAAGCCCCCTGGACCCCTGTTCCAGCCTTGACCACTCTGAGGTATGACTGTCAGGGACAGATCTGTCTCCCTCTCACTGACTGCCAGCCCTGGGAGAGAAGGGCCAGGGCTGTTGTGGTCACTGCCGTGTCCCCAACACTGCCTAGCCCAGGGCCAGGTACAGAAGTAAGGGCTCAGGGAGTGTTTACTGAATGAATATAAGAGTGGTGTGTGTGGGTATGTGTGTGTGAAACAGTTGAAAGTGTGTTAGATGAAGAGGATCAAAGTTCAAACTCCTCAACCCTAATTTCCCACCCCCAAGAAGTGGCATAAGAGCAGTTAAAGACTAGAGCTCCACTGTTGGGAGTCCAGCATTTCCACTTACCCATCCAGGCCCCATCTGTAAAATGGTGCCTCTGCATATGGTTATTTTGAGGATGAAATGAGTTATTCACATAAAGTGCTTAGAATGGTACTTGGAATGCAGTAAGTGGTCATTAAATGTTAGCTGTCCTTATTTTTCAATCATTTCTGATCCTTCCTTTTTTGTTTTTAAATTTATTTTTGGCTGTGTTGGGTCTTCGTTGCTGCGCATGGGCTTTCTCTAGTTGCAGCCAGCAGGGGCTACTCTTCGTTGCAGTGCACGGGCTTCTCATTGCAGTGACTTCTCTTGTTGCAGAGCACAGGCTCTAGGCATGTGGGCTTCAGTAGTTGTGGCACACGGCTCAGTAGTTGTGGCTCATGGCCTCTAGAGCGCCGGGTCAGTAGTTGTGGTGCACGGGTTTAGTTGCTCCGCGGCATGTGGGATCCTCCCTGACCAGGGCTCGAACGCGTGTCCCCTGCATTGGCAGGCGGATTCTTAACCACTGTGCTACCAGGGAAGTCCCTGATCCTTCCTTTTTAAGCCAACATCCTCTCCTGTCCCCATCTCTTATATCCAGCCACTTGAATCACCAATACTTGCCCTTCCTTGTGACATTTCATGTCTCTGAGCCTCTGCATATGCTGTTCCCTCCCCACTGGTGCACCCTTTCTGAACTTGTCCACCCAGGGAACTCCTATTCAGCCGGCACAGTCCAGCAATCATATCAGCCCTCCAGATCTCCAGGTTTCAGATCTATGAGATCAAAGTCTTCTTTCCTGTCCTCCAGCTTTTGACCCTTCCCTAATGTCCAAGTTCTGGGGAAGTATGTGGTCCAGCGCTAAGCATCCCTTTCATTGGGTCTCTTGGTGCTCTGTCACCCCCTTGTGCCCAGCCTCAGACCTGCATGGAAAAATGTGCCTAGAAAGTTCTGGGAGAATAGTGCTGGTAATTCTCCACTGTGTAACCCAGGGTCACCCTCAGCCTTTCTCCTCCTGCTCTGGGCCCTGGGAGACTGCCCTGTGTGGGCTCCATCCACGGGAGTCCCTTGCCCTCTGCCCTCTGGTTGGCTTCTCCCCGTTACAGGCACTGACAGGGAATCTGAAGGTAAGTAGAGAGGGAGAGGTTGGAGTATTTATTTTCCGGGCCACTCCCTGCATCCTTGCAGTTCTGGCAGTGGCTGTGTTCCTCTACCTACAGCTACAGCTCCTATGGTCTCCACTCCAAACTTTAGCTTTCTGCCTGAAGGGCGGTAATGGCTTGGTTCTGGCTCCAGCTGGTTCCCTGGCGTCGCCCCACATTTTGTGGGTTATTTCACCCTGCCAACCCCTCTAAACCTTCCCTTCATAAATGTTCTCACTTAAATTCTTTTTTTTTTTTTTTTTGACCGCACCACGCACGTGGCTTGTGGGGATCTTAGTTCCCTGACCAGGGACTGAACCTGGGCCCTCGGCAGTGAAAGCGCTGAGTCCTAATCACTGGACCGCCAGGGAATTTCCCCCCACTTAAACTCTTTGAATGGCTACCTGTTTCCTGCCAGGACCCTAATTGAATCACATAAACTTAGGGTGAGCCCAGGAGAGAAGGGGGCCCTCGCCCACCAGTGCACTCCAGAATTTCTCTATAGGATGAGCTTGGGATGGCCAAGGGGCTGACAGGAGGGCTTGTCTTGAAGCTGATAAGATTTATATTGGGTTATTTGTGGGGAGGGGGCTAAAACCTTTGTGACACTTCCATTGGAGTGTCTCTGTCTGTCCCCTTGAAGGAGGGTGGAAGGAAAAAACTTTTATTCCTGTGTGTATTGCAGGTCACTTGGGTCCTTGGTTAACTCTCTCACTTTCTTTTTCCCTCAAGAGCCCTGAGAGGAAGGTAGTAATATGGTTCAGAGAGGTGAAGTCATTTGTCCAAGGCCACATGGTGAATGATTATAATAGCTACCTTAAACAAAACAGAAGTGTTTCATTACGTTTCTGTGAAGCTCTGGAACAGGCAACACTAATTTCCAGTTTAAAAAAAAAAAAGGAAAAGAAAAACAGAAAGGCATGGAGTTGCCTCTGGGGGTGAAGTAGGGTGTGAGTATGCCCTGGAAAGGGGCAAAAAAACAATGTTCTCAGGTGATGGAAATGTTTATGTCTTAATTTGGGTGCTTAGTCACATGGGCGTATCTGTTTATCACAACTCGTTGTACTGCTCTCTTAAGGTCCAAGCATTTTAATTTTTATTTTCAAAATAAACAAAAAAGAATTTGCAAGCCCATCTCTGAGTGCTACATCCCAGGTCGGTCCAAAGTGCTTTGCCCAAGAATCAATTCTCACGACCAATTTATGAAGGACGTGATGATAATAATCAGCAAATATTTTTGAAGCACTTACCATTCGTGTATTTACTCTCTGAAAATAACGTGTATGGAACGCCTCTCTTGTAGTAAACTAACCAAACACAAAAATGACACTCCTCCTAGTGGGGAGGCAGATAATTAGAAAAAAAAAAAAAGTGGGTCTTCCCTGGTGGCGCAGTGGTTGAGTGTCCGCCTGCGGATGCAGAGGACACGGGTTAGTGCCCCGGTCCGGGAAGATCCCACGTGCTGCGGAGCGGCTGGGCCCGTGAGCCATGGCCGCTGAGCCTGCGCGTCCGGAGCCTGCGCGTCCGGAGCCTGTGCTCCGCAACGGGAGAGGCCACAACAGTGAGAGGCCCGCGTACCGCAAAAAAAAAAAGTGAAATACATAGAATGTTGGATGGTGACAAGTTCTATGGGGAAAAGCAAATAAAGCAGGAGGTAGGGGATCATGGCGATGGCGGGGGCGGGGGCGGGGGCGGGTGGGTGGGTCATGTTTTATAGACTTGATGGTATGACATCCCCATGACAAAGGGACTGTGAGAGACCACGTTATCAGAAGAGGAAACTGAGGCACAGAGAGGTCACCAGCCTAAGTCTCGCCAAGAGGCAGGGCTGGAGCTGGAAACCCCAGGATTCCTTCCAGGGCTGGCGCTGACCATGGGCATGGGGAAATAACAGACCCCTCGTTCTCTCCCTTGGGGAAGGGGGCATGCAATGATCAGAAAGTTAATGACTTGGGACTGGGGTCTCCGAAAGGAGGAAATGGTTCAGCTCAATGAGGGACCCCCCCTTCCCCCTCCCCACCCCCAGCTGAGGGCTTGATCTAGGAGCGCGGGACTGGAGGCACGGTAACCAAAGGGGTTAATGAGGTGGGGGTCTCCAGGATGGGGATGTTGAAAGACTGGGGGGTATTCCAGCGGCAGGTGAGATTTCTCCAGGGCTGGAAGACACAGCCCTCTCTCCATCTCTCCATCTCACAGCCCTCTCTCCATCTCTTTAGCGGGGTGAAGGCTCAAAGGAGTTAAGGGGGAGCGACAAAGGAGGGGTTAATGGGGGCGGGCCCGGCCGGGCCGGGGCGGGGCCTCGGTTGGCGGCTCTGGCCCGGGGGCCAGTAGAAGTCGCCGCCGGGTTCCTGCGCCGCCTTGGAGCCCGGCTCTCCCAGCCGCGGAGAGAGACGCCACCTGCCCCGTCCAGCCGTCACGCGCAGGTAGCCGCCTGTCCCTCCCCTGCCCGCGCCGGTCCTGCGGCCGCCGGGGACTGCTCGTCCCCGCGTCCGTCCGCTGCCTCAGTCTCCCGCGCCGTCTCCGTCCCCGCCCCTCTCTGGGGCTGGCTCTTCCCGGCGTCTGACTTTGTCTCTGGGTGTGTCTCCATCTCTCCGTCTGTCTCTGATGTCTCTCTGGATCTGCGGTCCCTCTCCCTCTGGGTGTGTCTCTCCTTCTCCATCTCCGGATGTCTCTGTCGATTTCTTTATCTCTGCCTCTCCGTCGCTCTCCCACTCTGCCTCCATCCCTGTGTCTTGGTGAACTCTCAGTTTCTGTGGATCTCTCTGCTTCCATCTCCCAGTCTCTGGGCATCTCTTTGCCCTTTCCCTTCCTGTCGCTGTCTCTCTGTATCTTAGACCCGGTTCTGGCAACTTCACCCCGTCATCATCTCATTCCAAATCCTCGCAAATTCCAACTTTCACCTGGGCTGAGGAGCTGCTTGGGAGTGGGGTAGGGGGCAGTAGGGTAGCCACCTGGGGCAGGTGGACTCTGAGTGCCCCTGTGACCCCGCCTCCCCCTTAACAGTCACCCCACTGCTCTGGAGGTCGCACCCACCCCACCCTCCAATTTCAGGAATTCCTGGCTGGGGGGTAAACTTCCTCCCCCACTTCCTCCCTTCCAGGATTTGGCTGGGTCACGCGTTAACTCCTTCCTGCCTTGGCTTCATCCCCCCCTCCTTGAGCTGGACACCCCCCACCTCCAAGCACGCTGAAGGACAGCTCTGGAATTTCGGCTGTGGGACGTGTGTTGTGTACTCAGGCGGGACATGCGCTGGGGGAGTTTCTTGCGGGCACAGATGGAGTTGATGGGGGCCACATCCCCACCGCCCCCCACCAGGGTCCATCAGCAGCCCCACTCTTTCTGAACTCACCAAGGGCCCCTCACAACTCTGTCTCTGTGGTTGAGCTTGACTTCAGGTTTGGGGTGAGGTTGGGGAGGTTGTCCTTTCTGGTGGTGGGGCATCCAGTAGTAGAAAATGAGAGAGGCTGATGGGGGAGGGGCTCCAGAACTCTGGGAATCATAGAATCAAGAAGTCTTGCATGTGAAGTCTTTGAATGAAAGGACCCAAGTAAGTGAGAATGATCAGAGAGGGGGACCAGGAATGCTCAAACCTTCAAATTAAAGGTCCTTAGGGTATTTGAATCCTTCAATCCAAAAAGCTTGGTGTTGGAATCTTGGCAGTTTTCAGTGTTCGCACACAGCCGAGAGCTTGAAAGTGCTTGCAGAGCCAGCTAGACCAAGCCCCCTATTTTACAGATGGGGAAACTGAGGCCCAAGAGTAGAAGTCCCCACAGTGAGTCAGTTTCAGGCTAAGGTTGGGACTCCAGTTCCACTGAAGCCCCAATCCAAAGATCTGGCTTCTTTCGCTGCCACTAAGTCGGATTCCTGTGGGGCAGGAGGTCTTCATAGGCAGGAGGGAAGAATGCCAAGGTGAGTGTGAATGGCTGGAACCCAGGAGGGAGCCTTTTAGAGGCAGAGGAGAGAAAATATTTCTAAAACCATGGTGTTGGAGAAGGAGAGGGGACAAGAGTTGGTTTGGGTGGAAGGGGTGGAGTTTCAGAGAAGGAGGGAAGTGAGGGGAAGGGGAGGGGGGTAGTGCAGAGATTAACTCCCGCCTGATTCTGTCTCCTGACCCTCCCCATGAAGCCCACTGCTCCCACAGGACAGGGCCTATAATTTGGTTTGTGTCTAGACAAATAATAACTCAGCTGGTGTGAGCGAGCAGGGAGGGACGTGGCAAGGCTCCCTGGGAGGCAGCCTGGGCTCCGAATGTCCCCCCCAGGGGGATGAGAATTTAGGGACCAGGTGAATGTGGTGACTGCCCCTCCCCCACTGAATCCTTAGTATCTTAGAATTCTGCATAATCTTAGAACTTTAGGCTGCTAGAATGTTAAAAAAAAAAATGGATTAGATAGGGAGGAAAAAGGAAGTGAGGTTTACAGTATGTAGAGTATGTTCCCATTTCTGTAAAAAAGAAAAGGGAAATACATATTAGTGTTTGTTTGGCAAAGATAGTAATCACTGAGAACTAATAATAGATTCTGAAAGTTATAGAATGTTAAAAAAAATCATAGAGCGTTCTAACAATAGAACTTGAGAATCTTGGAATGTGAGACGCTGGGATACTGGAAACTTAGAAGGAGAAGGGCATGGAAAGCCACCATGATAATAATAATAGAATGGAAGAAAGGTAAAGCTCTAGAATGTTATAATAATAGAACAGTAAACCAGGAACTGGACTAACAATAGAACCTGAGGATTTGAGAACCTTGCATTCTAGAACATGAGAGGAGTAGAGTCAAGGACTCTGGTGTCCCTTTTGGATGGTGTGGGGGTGTGTGGAGGGACGGGGACCCCTTCGGTAGAACTGGGGAAACTGAGGCCCAGCGGAGCTGTCACGGTGGCCGGACTGTCCCCCAGTTTCCGCCGGCCAGCCGCCAGGACACCAGGTGGGGAGCGAGGCTTGGTGATCACATTTCGTCCCCTAATGAGCAGACCGGAGCTGGCTGGTCCCCCGGGGCTGTCAGGGGAGCAGGAACCCTCAGAGGAGGGAAGTGGGGGTTGAGAGAGGCGACCTGGAGGCTTCTAGGACAAGACTGGTGAGTGAGGGGCTGTGGGGCTCTATTACCTCTCCATCTTGTCCTTTCACCGCCCCCCGCCCGCAGTCCTTCAGCCTTGCTGGACTTAGAGGTGGCTGCCAGGGCCCAGGGACTTATCTGGCTTGAGCAGCTGAGGAGCAAAGTGGGGGCAGTGGTCTGACAGTCCTTCCTGTCTCCCCACTATCGCTCCACATTCTCAGCTTCTCTCTCTTCCCTGCCCCTCTGGGAGGGGCCCGCAGGGACCACGAGGGAGGCCTGTGGCACTGGGGAGCTTCTTGTGGGCACTGTGAGATTTGGGAATTGACCTCCCAGACACAAAGCCTGAGTAAGGGAGGCAACTTAGATCCCAGCCCAACAGGGTCTTGGCTCCAGGGGGCTGGGCAAGGGAGTCAGGTGATGGAGGGGCACCCAAGACGTTGAGGTCATTTGCTTTCTTGTGGTGAGAGTCCGTGGATCTTGCAGCAGATTCTTTTTTTTTTTTTTAATATTTATTTATTTGGTTGCGTGGGGTGTTAGTTGCAGCAGGCGGGCTCCTTAGTTGCGGCTTGCTGGCTCCTTAGTTGCGGCATGTGGGCTCCTTAGTTGCGGCATGCAAACTCTTAGTTGCGGCATGCATGTGGGATCTAGTTCCCCGACCAGGGATCGAACCTGGGCCCCCTGTGTTGGGAACGCAGAGTCTTATCCGCTGCGCCACCAGGGAAGTCCCTCAGCAGATTCTTAACGGGGGCTGAGAACCCCGGAAAGACTTGAGAAGAATTACGGGAATGCAGGGGGTGAAGAGAGAAAACATTCAGGTAAGGGGAAGCTTTTTAGTTAAGAATGACAGATCTATGCAGTCTTGACACACCATGTGACTTAAGACAACTGCTTTGTGGCTCTAGGCCTCAGTTTCCCCATCTGTATCAGGCAAGGGTCAGAAATAGCCTCGTGCCCCTATATGTTGTGGCATATAGGCCTGTTGCACCGTGGAGTTCTAAGAGTCTGCCATTCCGCGCTGTCTTTCGGGGGTTTGGTGGTGGGCAGATCTCAGGTGGAGGAGAAGAGAGGGTTGAATGCCCCTCCCCCATGCCCAGCATCCCCCAAGAAACAGATGGGTTGAGGAGGAGGGATGGGAGGAGGGAGGGCTAGGCGGCCAACTGGTTCCCCCTCGAGGAAATTAGCAATGGGAAGTGTATTTCCTTTGGCTGCAGGAAATCAGTCTCATGCCTGTGTACCCACCCCAGCCTCAGCTGAACCCAGGGGTTCTTGAGAGGGTGGGGCAAAGGGAACTCCCAGCTCTCAGTGCCTTCTCCCATTATGAACTGGTTCATTCTTGTGTCAGCTCCCCAGGGCCTGTGGAATAGTAATAATTGTTCAAATACTGCACAATTTATAGATGATATCACCTCTACCAAGGATTTTCTTTTTTTAAATTAATTTTGTTTTTTATTGAAGGATAGTTGATGTACAGTATTGTGCCCATCTCTGCTGTACAGCAAACTGACTCAGTTATACACATACAGACATTCTTTTCTTTAAATATTGTTTTCCATTATGGTTTATCACAGGATATTGAATGTATCCATAGTTCCCTGTGAATAAATTCGGAGATGTTTCATCCTCTTCAGTTTTCTGGAAGAGTTTATATAGAATTGATATTTTCTTTTTTTCCTCTTTTTTTTTTTTTGGCCGAACCACGCAGCATGCAGGATCCTAGGCACAGGGTCAAACCTGGGCCCCCTGCAGTGGAAGCGCGAAGTCTTAAGCACTGGACCGCCAGGGAAGTCCCAAGGATTTTCATATCTGGGATGTGACTAGTATAAAAGTTGTGCCCACCCCCCCCCCTTTCTATAGAAGGGGAAACTGAGGCTCCTGAAGAAGTAATTCCCTCAGTGTTACAGGAGGGAGGAGAGACTCAGGGCAGACAGAGGGGAGAGAGGTGTGTGGGTTTTTGTTTTGTTTTGTTTTGTTTTTTAATATAAATTTATTTACTTATTTAGTTTTGGCCGCGTTGGGTCTTCGTTGCTGCGCGCGGGCTTTCTCTAGTTGCGTTGAGCGGGTGCTGCTCTTTGTTGCGGAGCACGAGCTCTAGGCGCGCGGGCTTCAGTAGTTGTGGCTCGCGGGCTCTAGAGCTCAGGCTCAGTAGTTGTGGCGCACGGGCTTAGTTGCTCCGCGGCATGTGGGATCTTCCCGGACCAAGGCTCGAACCCACGTCCTCCACATTGGCAGGCGGATTCTTAACCACTGCGCCACCAGGGAAGCCCGAGAGAGGTGTTTTGAGTGATTTGCTCTGGGCGGGTGGTTTCAGTTCTAAAGGTAGGGACCGGATTGCACTGTTCCAGCCAGGAGCAAGCCACCTCTGTCCCATCTCCACAGGATCCAGGAGTCTCTGTGAGTCTGAGGTGAGGGCAGCTCTTCCGTCATGGAGGACCCGACAGCGGGGAGGACTTACTAAGTGGGACTCAGCCCTGATCTTTCAAAGTCAATGGTGCAGCAGATAGATCCTACCCTTTTCACTTTTTCCCTCCACGCCTCTTTCTCTGGGTCCCTGCAGGGGCTCGCTTGAGCTTGAAGTCGGGGGTGGTGCCGCCTCAAGGTGAGCAGGAGCCTGTGTTGGAGGAGGGGCTGACCAATGCCTGTTCCCTCAGTCCAAAGACATTTCTTGAGTGCCTACTCTATGCCGGGCCTGTCCTGGGCGCTGGCGATACAGCAGTCAACACAAGGTCCCTGCCCTCCTGGAATGTCCGTTCTAGACAGACAGACAGACACAAACAAGATGCAAAGTGATGTGAGGAGAGAGCCCTGGGAATGGGTGGTCAGGACTCTGGGTACAGAGGGCTTCCCTGAGGAAGTGAAGGAGGTGAGGGAGCTAGTCGTAAGTAAGTCTGAAGGAAGAACAAAGGTTTTGTTTTGTTTTGTTTTGGCTGCGTTGGGTCTTCGTTGCTACGCGTGGGCTTTCTCTCCTCGCGGTGCACGGGCTTCTCATCGCGGTGGCTTCTCTTGTGGTGGAGCACGGGCTCTAGGCACATGGGCTTCAGTAGTTGTGGCACGCCGGCTCAGTAGTTGTGGCACGCCGGCTCAGTAGTTGTGGCACACGGGCTTAGTTGCTCTGCGGCATGTGGGATCCTCCCGAACCAGGGCTCGAACCCGTGTCCCCTGCATTGGCAGGCGGTTTCCTAACCACTGCGGCACCAGGGAAGCCCAGAACAAAGGTTTTGACGCTGGAAAGAAGGTCGAGCCTTGAGGCTGCTGAGGTGGGGGAGGGGAGGTGGGCAAGAAAGTCATCTAGGTTGCCCAGGCTGGTCAGGCAATGCCTTGTCACCTGGGGTGAGGATTTGGGATTTCACCCCAAGTCCACTGGGAAGCTATTGGAGAGTTTCAAGCAGAGAAGTAACAAGAGCTGATTTACATGTTAGAGAGATCTTTCTGGCTGCCACGTGGGAGGTGAGTTGAGGGAAGTCAGAGTGGCCAGGAAAGCCGTAAGCAGGCTACTGCAAAGTCCAAGCCAGTGGTGATGGCTGAGCAGAGCGGGCAGAAGCAGGGGTTTTAGAGACATACATGGATTCAGGATTTAGTGTGGAGGTAGGGAGAGCCAAGTGGCCTTTCCCATGAGAAGATGCTCAGGTATCTGGGAGGTTCCCATGTACCTGCTGTGTACCTTTGGGCTCATTCCTTCCCCTCTCTGGGCCTTGGTTTCCTCATCTGTCCAATCGACTCAACCAGTGGTTTTCAAAGTGTGTCCTAGGGATGCTTCAGAGGTGGCCTTCTTCCCACCACCTCATTTTTTTCTAGAGCACAGAGCAGCTTCCTCTGTCACGGTCTTAGATGGGGTTTCCAGCTGAGATGTCTCTCTCTCTTTTTTTTTTAAGTGGTTTCACAGCCTAAAAACTAAACTGATGCAAACCCTTGGATGGAGTGGCTTCTGAAGGTGCCTCTAATTCAGGACTTCGCTCCCCACCTCTCTGGGGGTTGACAGTGGTCCGGGGCTTGGTCCAAGATTGTCCTTTGCCCTGTCCTTAAAGGTCTCCGCAGGACCAGGAGAGTGGGGCCCAAGACTCTCACTCGGGAAATTCGGAGGGGAGTGGGGAGAGACAATGAAGGGGGCAGTCTCTGAGGGAGGGGACTGCTGGCACTGCCCCCAGGGCTCCCCCTTGCTCCCGACCTCAACCGAGTCCAGCATCTCCTCCTCTCAGCCCTTCCCCGCCCCACCCCCACCCAGCCCCCTGCAGCTATGCTTCCCTGGGCTGTCAGCCCAGGGCCCTCTTCTGTCCAGTTATTCTTGGGTGAAAACTGAAGTGCAGGCTGGAGAAAGCCGAGATTTCCCCTCTCCCGCTATCAGGACCTTGGACAGGTCTCTGAACCTCTCTGTGCCTCAGTTTGTCTCACAGCGGGAATAACCCTATTCCTCATAGGATTCTTGAAATTTTAAAATTCATACCCATAAAAGTGCTTAAGACAGGGTCTGCTATGTAGTAGGACTTAATAAACTTTAGCTGTTATTATCACCACCGTCATCATTATAGTCAAAAATGGGGTGCCCTGGGTTAGGAGCAGGAGGGCTGGTTCTAGCCCGGTTCTGTCACTGCCTTGCTGTGCATCCTTGAGGGGAGTGACGCAGCCTCTCTGGGCCCAGTCTCCCTGTCTATAACATGAGAGTTGAGACTAGTTCTCCATTTCCCACAGCATGATATGATACTTGTGCAAGTTTTACATGGTTTCTGGAAGAAAGTTTTAAAATCTGAGTTGGATCTTTATTTTTATTTTTATTTTTTTGCGGTACGCGGGCCTCTCACTGCTGTGGCCTCTCCCGTTGCGGAGCACAGGCTCTGGACGCGCAGGCTCAGCGGCCATGGCTCACAGGCGCAGCCGCTCCGCGGCATGTGGGATCTTCCGGGACCGGGGCACGAACCCGTGTCCCCTACACCGGCAGGCGGACTCTCAACCACTGCACCACCAGGGAAGCCCCTGGATCTTTATTTTAACATCTGTTAGGGAAAAAATATATCTGGCATCTCAAATCTGTGTTTTCAGAGATCCGTTGCTTAGAGTGGGGCTCAATTAGGCATCGTTAGGGTCCCCACCCTCTGCAGCCCACTGGAGTCAGGGCAAAAGGGGTGTGGGGAGAAGGGGGTGGTCTATGACTCCTCTCACTGCAGTCTTCTCTCCCCACAGGTGCTGCAAAATCGGCTTTGAACTGTGAGGCGGGGCCACCTCATGTCAACTGCTCAGCTCCCACCAGGACCAAGCTGGAGCCCCGTCCTTGTCCCCTTTAAATTCCCTGTATTAGTAACCCTGCTCTGATCTAGCCCTTACTCACCTCCTTCCTGTTTCTTAAAAACCCTTCCCACATTCCCCAGACCGAGCCCTTCCTCTCTTTCATCCCTCACAAGACACCTCCTTTTCCGTAATCTTCTCCTCACTGTTTACCTTACTTATTTCCTTATTTCTTACTGGGGTCCTAGGAAATGCTAGCACCCCCATCCATCTTGCCTGGTCTTTTCAACACTCCCTAACTGTAGACTATCCTATCTCAACACTATCCCATACATTTCCACCCCACCGTTACTTCAGCATGGCCACGCTTACTTTCTACATCCTCCGCAAATCTCTCTCTCTCACCACTGCCCACTGATGCCTTCAGCTCCTCTATAAACAGCCCCCTCAGTCAATTTTGTGTGACCCCAGTACTCCTCCATTTATGCTCTGATTGGGTTCATAAAACCTCCTTGACAAAGACCTTTGTGAATCCTGCCATCCCCCAGACCTCCCTCTTGTCGTAATTCTATCCCTCCTCCAACTTTTCCCTCTCAAGCTCTATCCTTCCCTGCCCAGCCTGGCCCACGATTCGTGGTCAGCCTCATCTCTTCACTGTGGACTGCCTCCCACCATGTTCCCCTGAGCCTCCGAGGAGGGGGCTCAGGGGGCCTGATGGCCTCCCGCCACCCATGGCCCCACAGCCCCCGTGGGCCAGGGGAAGCATCTCGAAAGCCTCAGTGCCGAGGATGGGCAACCGCACGTGGGAGGGCTGCCACGTGGACTCCCTCGTGGACCACCTCTTCCCGCCCTCCCTCTACATCTTTGTCATCGGCGTGGGACTGCCCACCAACTGTCTGGCCCTGTGGGCCGCCTACCGCCAGGTGCGGCAACACAACGAGCTGGGTGTGTACTTGATGAACCTCAGCATCGCTGACCTGCTGTACATCTGCACGCTGCCGCTGTGGGTGGACTACTTCCTGCACCACGACAACTGGATCCACGGCCCCAGCTCCTGCAAGCTCTTCGGGTTCATCTTTTATACCAACATCTACATCAGCATCGCCTTCCTCTGCTGCATCTCCGTGGACCGCTACCTGGCTGTGGCTCACCCACTGCGGTTCACCCGCCTGCGGCGCGTCAAGACGGCCGTGGCCGTGAGCTCCGTGGTCTGGGCCACGGAGCTGGGAGCCAACTCAGCGCCCCTGTTCCACGATGAGCTCTTCCGCGACCGTTACAACCACACCTTCTGCTTCGAGAAGTTCCCCATGGAAAGCTGGGTGGCCTGGATGAACCTCTACCGGGTCTTCGTGGGCTTCCTGTTCCCGTGGGCCCTCATGCTGCTCTCCTACCGTGGCATCCTGCGGGCTGTGCGGGGCAGCGTGTCCACCGAGCGCCAGGAGAAGGCCAAGATCAAGAGGCTGGCCCTCAGCCTCATTGCCATCGTGCTGGTCTGCTTTGCGCCCTACCATGTGCTCCTGCTCTCCCGCAGCGCTGTCTACCTGCGCCACCCCTGGGACTGTGGCTTCGAGGAACGTGTGTTCTCGGCGTACCACAGCTCACTGGCCTTCACCAGCCTCAACTGTGTGGCTGACCCCATCCTCTACTGCCTCGTCAACGAGGGTGCCCGCAGTCACGTGGCCAAGGCCCTGCACAACCTGCTCCGCTTTCTGGCCAGTAACAAACCCCAGGAGATGGCCAACGTCTCGCTCACCCTGGAGACCCCACTCACTTCCAAGAGGAACAGCGTGGCCAAGGCCATGGCAGCCAGCTGGGTGGCCGCTCAGCCCTCCCAGAGGGACCAGGTGCAGCTGAAGGTGCTGCTGCCGGCACAGTGAACCCCGTGTCTGCAGAGCCCCCACTCCTCCATACTAACCCCACCCTCCCTTCCCTCCTGGTCCGGTGTATGCAAATTGTATGTAAATGAGGCTATGCTAATTTCCATACGCATGTAAGAAAATAGGAAAATAGTGACGTTGATGTGTCACTGGTCATCCATCGTCCTCCACCATGACCCCCTAACAATTCAGTAGAACTGTGCCTAGCCCTGCGCTGGGTGGTGCTAGTGACCCAGCGGTGACAAATGACAGCGCCGGCCCTGCCCTCATGGCTCCCACTCCACTGGGGGAGACAGATCTGTCCCTGGATAGTGATGACCCAGAGTGGGCAGGGCTCAGATGGGGAGCCCAGGGGCCGGGGGGAACCCAAGAAGGCATCAGACCCGGTCTGGGGGTCAGAAAGTGCCTCCTAGAGGAGGGGACCAGTAGATTAACTTTCCGGAAGGTAAAGACAAAAAAGTTAGGATTACTTTCAACAAGGGGGTAAAAGTCTGTGACTCACGGGGAAGGTGGAAGAAGAAACTCACCGAGTGCTGAGTGGTCACTTTTGCCTTTGGGAAGCCCCCGGTCATATAGGGGAGAGAGAGAGCAGGACAGAGCGTTTCAGAGTTTCAAGATAAACAGCATTCTCCAGGTCAGGACTGAGGAGGAGGGAGCAGAATCAAATGAAGGGCGATCAGCAAACGGGCTGGTGGAGCAGGGAGCAGGGCAGGCTTGGGAAGGGGGCTGGGGACAAGAGAAGACTATTTATTCATTCATTCAAGGGAGATTTGTTTATACCTACTCTCTGCCCAGCCCTGTGCTGGCCGGCAGCTGGGGACAAAACGGTGACCAAGACAGCCCAGGCCCCACCCTCACGGAGCTCACAGTAAATGAATAAAGATAAACATAACATTTGGAATCGATAAGGGTAATGGGGAAAAATAAAGCTGACTGAGGGGACAGACAGTGATGTGGAGTCAGATCTAGATAAGGAGGTCGGGGAGGGCTCACGGAGAAGGGGGCATTTGAGAAACGACCTGAAGGAGGAAAGGAGTCAGATGGAAGAGTGCTGCAGGCCGAGGGAACAGCAAGCGCAAAACATGGAGTAAGAGACTGCCTGCACTTGAGGGCCAGCAAGCACACACAGCGGTGTGGCGGGAACCGGGGACGGGAGGATGTGAGGAATGGAATTGAGACAGGCCAGGGACAGGGTCCCATATTATAGAGCTTTGTGAATCCACGTGAGGACTTTGCCTTTTATTCCAAGAGAAATGGGAGCTACAGAGGGGCTCTTAGCAGAGAAGGATTGGGATTTGGCTTAAATGTTAACAGGATTCCCTGGCTGCTGAGCGGGGAACAGAATATGGGAAGTAAGGGCAGAAGCCAGGAGCCCAGGCAGGAGATGCTGATGGCTGGACTGGGGTCGGGGGTGGGTGGTGGTGGAGTGGGGAAGGATCGGTGTCAGCTTTGGGATTTATCTTGAAGGAATTCGATGATGGAAGAAGCACAAGGGCCGGTGGGATTGTGTAACTCAAGCCCCTTGCCCATCCTGGGAAAAGGGTGACCAGGGGACCTGAACTGGAAGGATGTCTGGGAATGATCCCAGGCCCTACTCAAAGGCCGTCACCAAAGAGGCCAAGTGATTAGCCCAGGGTCACACAGCCAGTGAGTCAACGCCAGGGCCATCCTGGCCTCCCTCTCCCCTCCCTGTCTCTGCCTCTGTCTCTGTTCCCATGCCCCGGAGTGGCCACGGCTGCTGTCCTGGCTGATGGTGTTCCCCCCCTCCCCTGGCCCTCAGGGGTCAACCAGGAATGGCTGTCCTTCTAGAACTAGGCTGGAGAGCAGGAGGAAACACACAGCTCTGGACAGTCCTCGCCCCTTCTGATAGCCCATCTCCCTCCCTTCCTCCCCACGGGTGTGTAACAGGCTCCAGGCTCCTGATGAGATGTGAAGATCTCCCTACACACACACACACACACACACACACACACACACACAGGCACAAATACACCATTGCCCCAGAAGTTCCCAGAAGAGGTTCCTGGAAACCCTTCTCAGAGAAAGAAAGAGGAGGGAGGAGAGGAGTGAGAAAAAAAATGAACTTAATGAGGAAAATGGTTTTGCAGGAGGAGGGGTGGGTCACTGAGATGCAGGAAGTTGGGTCTTTGGTGTTGTGGGGAAGAGAAAAGAGGGAGCCCTGGGATTTGGCGGGGAGGGAGGGCTGGTAGTTTTCCCACCCTGTCTCACTGCTATAAAGCTACTGGGATGGAGATGTAGGGGAATAGAAGCTTTCTGAACACAGTCCCCTCAGGGAATCAGATGAAAGCCTGCATGCTACCCCTCCACCAAATGCTCATTCCCATTCATTCAATAAATATTTATTGAGCACCTACTATGTGCCAAACATTGTTCTAGGAGCTGAGGAAACAATAGTGAATTATAAACAAAAAAGTCATGTACAAGTTTGGAAGCTTCCTAAACCCATCATGTGGAAACTCAGCGTCCCACCCCCACCCCGAGTAGGTCCTTAGGCCACAGGCTAACACCCCCAGGGATCAGGAGAAGACTCTGGGCTGGGACTCCAGAAACCCCAGCCTCAGTTCCATCTTGATTACCTCTGGAACTCTGGATAAATCCTTGTCATCCTCTGGCTCCAGTTGGTCAGTCAGTAAAATGGGGGGGGGGGTCCCTAGTGGATGATGGACCTTGAATGGTCCCAAGCTCCTTAACATCTTTAGCCCAGAAAGGGTCCTGGGGAGAAGTTGTTTTTATGGAGTCTTGGCATTCTTAGTAATTTAGAATATCGAGGTTCACACATGTCAGTATCATCATTACAGATGGAGAAATGGAAGTCCATCAGGGCCAGGAAAGTGACAAAGGACACTCAGGGAGTCCTAGAGGATGCCAAGTAAAGCCCTGGGTCCCCCAACTCTGTGTCCTGAATGTTTCCTCCTGTACACAGCTTCTCTGTTCCTTGCACTTCCCCTCTTCCTCTGCCTCTTCGAGAATCTCTCAATTACCCATCAGCACTCCACCATCCAGAAATTTCTCTCAACCTCTTCTTGACCTTGTTTATATGATTTTGCTCCCTGCTGGGTAAGGGATGACAGTCTGGGACACTTCCTTAAACTCCTTCCTGAGCCAGCTCCCTAGGGACCCTCGCCCCACAATGGAGGAAGTGGGGCTGCTTGAGAACGGTATAGTTTATTAGCCAAGATGCTGGGCTATCAACCTCTGCTGGCTGAGGGAACTTGTGCCACTCTCCTGGCCCCTCTTTGGGTCTCAGTTCGTCAGTTACTTGGGAAATGGTTGGATTAGCTGCTTCTGGAGATGAAATGCGCCCTCATGCTGGAGTTAGCAATAATAATGCTAATACCTGTATAGTAATAAGGGCTGTTTATTGGGTGATTGGCACCATTCTGAGCTCTTAACATAGTTCACTATGTTTTTATATTCAAAATTTGCATGCAAGGCTTACAACAACCCAATAAGGTAAGTGTTCTTTTTTTTTTTTTTTTAGTACATTTATTTATTTAGTTAGTTAGTTTTGGCTGTGCTGGGTCTTCGTTGCTGCGCAGGGGCTTTCTCTGCTTGCGGTGAGCAGGGCTACTCTTCCGTGTGGCGCCCGGGTTTCTCATTGCGGTGCCTTCTCTTGTGGAGCATGGGCCCTAGAGTGCACGAGCTTCAGTAGTTGTGGCACACGGGCTCAGTAGTTGTGGCTCGCAGGGTCTAGAGCGCAGGCTCAGCAGTTGCGGCGCACGGGCTTAGCTGCTCCGCGGCATGTGGGATCTTCCCAGACCAGGGCTTGAACCCATATCCCCTACATTGGCAAGCAGATTCTTAACCACTGCACCACCAGGAAAGTCCCAAGGTGTAAGTGTTCTTATGATTCCCATTTTGTAGATGGGAATACTGATGCCCAGAGAGGTTAAGTCACTCGTCACACACAGCAAGTAAACAGTGGAGCTGGGTTCCCAATCCAGGTCTGTATGACTACCTGGACAGTTTCTTACGCCCAGTGAGAGCTCTAAACTGCGGGGGGAGGGGGGGAAGGTGCATTTGGGACTCGTTAGCCCTAATTAGGACTAATTAAGACTCCTCCTTTGGAGATGCCACCCAGGTGTGTGACGTCACGGAGGAGGGCGGTGACGTCAGCCGAAGCGGGCGTGGGAACCCACGCAAGCTCCGCGAGCTGCCGTTTAACGGCACCACCCTCTGACCCTTACTTTCGCCGTATATTTGCATATTCATCGGAACGGACGTCGGAGCGTCAGCGTTGACGTGGTGTCGTCACGGAGCGCCCCTGCAGTTCCCAATAGGGCGTACGCACGTACGTAGGCACGCACAGCGACGAGCGGGCGGGGGAGGAGGGAGAGATCGGAGGCGCCCCTCCCAGTCAGCAAGGTTGCGCATGCCCCTTGCAACCGCCAAGATGGTGGTGGGCGCGTTCCCTATGGCGAAGCTGCTATACCTGGGCGTCCGGCAGGTCAGCAAGCCGCTTGCCAACCGCATTAAGGAAGCCGCCCGCCGAAGCGAGTTCTTCAAGACCTATATCTGCCTCCCGCCAGCTCAGCGTGAGTCTGACCCCACGTCCCTCCAACCTTCCCATTCTCTAACCCCTTTCAGGTGGTTGCTCAGGAGGTGGACTTCTGTTCATGACCAATCACAGCCCGAACCGGCAAAGTCTTTCAGCCAGTAGGGATGGTCCCTGGGAGAGGGGCATGCGGGTAGCCCAATAGTAAGAAAGGGCATGGGGTTAAGGGCGGGGCAGGGCGACCGCGCTTGAGTTGGGAATACTAGCCAATAGAGGAAAAGAGCGCGTGGAGACTGACGTCTAGACGGACCAATAACCTGGGGAATGGGAGTGATTTGGGCGGGGCATTCCAGGGCTGAGAGGAGCCGGCGGAGACCGGAGCTCCGGTCATTTGACCAAGTGGGGTAGTTTGCCAGACTATCCGTGGGAGGGTTCGCTCTGAAGACTCCACCTCGTGCCTCAGTTTCCCTCCCGTCCTGGGAGTTGAGAGGTGCTTATGTATCATCCGTTTAGGACATTCATTTGTTTGCCCCAGTTGTACTCCGGGAAATAGGCCTGGGTAGAGGCGTGGCTCGGGGCGAAGTCTGGGGTCTGGGGGCGTGACCTGGGAATCC